ACAATTTTGCTTCGAAGTATTTAGTTAGCCATCACGAGAAGTTTAGATCGCTGTATCCAAAGGAAAGCTCTATAATTTATCATAAAATTTCCTGCTGTACCGTCAAATCTCAATAATATTCCACTTTACATTTTTTATATCTCACATTTGCTTGTATATATATTGCATTAGTCATTAAATTCGTGAACCGTACCCCAGTACCAGAGAATATGCGTTGGGTTTTATCGTACTGGACACACTTCATATATTTAGCGATGAAATATACGTAACTGCAGTGTCCATCCACAGTGTGCATGTTTTCTTGCTGTCCGCATACACAACATTTTATTCCCAGAATAGTTGTACGAAGGACTCTATATACTAGTTGGTAGCCTAATGCCAAAGTATTTCTGTTATTTTCAGTTTCAGTTATTTCAGATAGATTTTTATCGCGCAAAAATATGGCAACACAAAACAGCACAATTGTTGACACGGTGGTGATAGCAGACTTCTATCAAATTGCTGAACTGGCTGACTAATACCTAGAATTCTGGCAAAATGATAACCAGATGATGCAGATGTTTTTGACAGATAGTAATGATAGATCAAGTTGGCTTCCTATGTATATTTCCATGCCAATATAATTAATTTGGAAAATAAAGGTCGAGGCCTAATATATTGTCATTGAATCGTGCCTCATAATATGTATATATCTGTTTCAATAGAAAAACGCCCGTGGGTGTGATATATCCGTTCGGTTCCAATTCTAGAGTTTCTCTTTGCGATTGTGTACTCTAAACTATAAATATATAAAAAAGCAAGCCAAATACCAACAAAACAAAATATAAAATGCGGCAAGTTTAATAATAGCGTCAAATTTAAAATATATTCCATTATATTTCAACAATATACATTTATTAATATAAACTCGCGGTTTTGAGTGAAAACTTGCGGAACACCCGGACTGAACTTTTGAAAAACCAGAGGTATCGCTGAATTCTGGTTGGAAACCACTGGCCCATATAATCAATGTTGTAAAGTCCTAATCTACACTATACCTGCATGCCGTAACATCCTTTATTGACACTGACTGTAAGCAACCTAGGTTATACCCTCACACGCGCAACATATTGACAAGACCCATAAGGATGTATTAATGAAATATGTGGTTATGTATCTAGGCAATAAAATATAAAGGCGCCGTCCTAAACTTAGGGTAGCAAACGAAAAACCGCAAATATCTTGCTATCTAATTACATTACGGCCAACGATGACAGAAGACAACTTTTTTGCAACGTTAACTCACTTTGTATAAATTAAAACAGCTTACCTAATTTCCATCTAAAAAATGCTACGTCCTAGCTTTTTGGTGAACTACATTCACCTCTTTGCCTGTTATTATCTGCGCCCAGCTAACAGGAGCAGCTTACACATATTGTTATGCCATACCAGATACTATGATGTAATAAAACTCAATTACTGAATGCATGTAAGGAAGGATCAACTCTCTGTACAATGGATGTTTTCCGAACATCGATTTTCTTGTTCATTCCCTTACAATGGCCAATCAGTAATAGGTCAATAATGACGTAGCATAAAAACAAAAAAATTGCCATAGTAAAATATAGGAATTTTTTTTCAGGGGTTAAGGGTCGGGGGAATATCCATATGTGGTCGCCTGCGAGGTTTTTGAATTTCCTGATTTCCCAATACCGGCTTCACGATGTCGAGGGTTGATGACTCTACCGAAATAGATCCTAACTTATGTTCTGCATTTGTCTCCACGGCTAATCTCAAACGTATTTGGCTATATCCTGTTCATTCGGGCGTTGCAAAGGTCACCAGGAGCTCAAAAATGTATGTTCGCTTTGGTCGTTGGGAACCATTACTCCCACTCTACTTTGTATACGTTCTGCATAAAATTAAAATTTAGCTGATATTCATTCAAATGTTTGCTGTTGCAAAATTAAATCCTAGGAAACGTTTTCTTCTCAAAATTCTATTCTAAACCCAGGAAATTATGGTTCCCGCAAAAGTGCATCCCACTGAACATCATTCGCTCGATGACTATCGCTCTCATGAAATGAGTCGCATTGTGAACTGGGAATGACGATATGGGCATGGCTGTACTTGAATATAGTTAGCTCACGCTTTCTACGCTTCTGTCTGTTTATGTTATATTGTTCTCTGGCTACCATTGAATGCACTTTTGCCCCAAGAAACGGAAAAATTAGAACTAGTTCAATCATCTAACCATAATTTTTAATTTTTACAAAATTGATTATTCAAACCCCAAAAAAGTTCGAAAAATCGCAAGATGTCATCACAATTTTTTAATTGCGATAAGTTGTTTAGACTTCTATTCAAAGATAAATTCCATTTTTTACCTTGAGATCCGAAAAGTTCGTAATAATTCGATTATTTTTCGAATTAAGCCCATTTTTACAAAATTAACAATATTCTAACTTTTTAGCTGCTATAAGTTTTTATGTTAATCGTCTCCAAATGTAAATTCAAATTTTTGCCCATCGGATCATAAAAGTTTGTAATAATTCAATTCTGTTACCCAAATTTCACAAAATTGACAAATCCCAACCTTGAAAGTTCGAAATAATTCCCCATATTGAGTAAAAACAAGCCGTAAGCAGCTGTAAGCTAACTAATTCAACAACCATGATGTATGTATATTGAAAAAGTGAAAATTATTGGCCATGGCCCATGAGTCGCGGCCCATGGGGCCGTAGGTCCTGGTTTTTGGCCCATGGATCCATCAATCAATTTTATTTTGGTCGCTCTGGCATAAAAGAAAACAACAACAGGCGGACAAACAAAATGCAGGGATACCTGGATGACGAGCATAACTTAGGATAAAGTTAAAAACGTACGCGCGCGCGCACGTCCACTAAAAACAGAACACAATAAAAGAACACAATAAAATAAACACACACAATACAAAATCGGCGAATAACTTTTAATTCGCGCCCAGCTGCCAACAAAAAACATACACCTGCAAGCACATAAAAGAGTGTGTTCACTCTTTCAAAATTGGGCAATACTCAAAAGTAATTCAAAATGAGAAAACATATAACAAATACAAATACAGTGGAAAATTTACAATCGAAAAAAGATCGCAGTCGTTTGAGGCATGCGTGTTAGTCTTCAAACTATAAAAAAAGTAGTGTAGCGCAACAAACGCACCAACGTTGAAACGAGAATATCGGTCAGAGACCGAAGACTTATCGATCGAAAGTTAGGGGTCTCCCAAAACAGCGTTCTTACTCCATAGTGACACCTCGTGTCCCATCACTAATAAATTAATACCTTGCTAATTATACGACATGATTCTCCTAAAATCAATAGGGTTCTGGTCCGAGATATGATGAATGCACATGCAAAATCTGGAGCAGATTCAATCTCGCTTTCGTGAGATATCGCGTGCATCTAACAGACATACAGACAAATACCTATCAACATAGGCCTACTTACCGATTCAAATCGATAAGTAATAATTAAAATCGATAAGAAATAACTTTGTTAAAATTCGACACAGTGCAATTTGTAAGACAGTGGGGTGAGCGTCTGTAATTGAAGCTGTCGTAGTACGCGCGAACACACGCAGTTGTAAATAAATGGCAAACATCTCATAATCACGATAATCTTTCGAGCGCCGATACTCTTCACAATAAAATTGCGATAGCCCCTATATAGGCCTACATAAGATTTCCTTTGTCTTTGTTGGGTTTAGCTCAACGCAGTCCTATAAATAAAACTTCGTTCGTCACAGCTTCTACTTGAATTTGCGGAATGTTTCCTAGTGTTTCAATCTGTAGAGCACTTGAACTAATGTCTTAAAATTTTTTTAAAATTGCAAAAGCAATCTTTCGTACCATATATTGTTTTGGCCCTCACAGATGTATTGAATGGAGTAAAAATACTCACAATTACTAATTAAAAAATCATATGCTACCCCCAATATTTCATAACTTTTTTACAAGAATTTCAACCATCCATAGCCATGTCACAAGAAGTGTTACAAAAAGGACCCATTTCATGCATCGATGCTCGTTTTCATTAATAAATAAATTGCTCAAAGCAGAAAATATCTTAATTTGGGAAAATACTCCAAGAAATACTGAAAAATACTCACTTGCAACATTCAGTGAACGATTTAAAATCCATCTCCTTAATGGCTATGAATTGATGAAAAAAGACCATGTGTTTGTTATTCCTTATATATTCAAGTTGTTAACGTTAGGGTGTTATTTTGAATTTCGATCCAATGTCCATGTTCTATGATTTAGAACTTGAAGCTAATGATAAAAATAAAATTATTCAGTCCAAATCTTGATGAACTTGCCCTCGTATACTAATAATTTTGGTCACTAGTTGTGCCCAATTCAAACAACAGCCTTGTAATATTCGAAATATAAAAATAATGCCCCTTTATAAACAATTGATTAATGTAGTTTTTTATTGTTTGTGTTGTTTATTGTTCATATTGTTTATTGTTCATATTGTTAATTGTTCATATTGTTTATTGTTCATCTTTTAAGAACAGCAATACTTCATAGGGTGTCACATCACAGCTAGATAACCCCCCGAGGTTTCCTGTGACTCCCTTTGCCGGTGAACAACAAGGTTTTGCTTGTTTTTTGTAAACGTGTTTTTAATTTTCACATAGTGATGAATAAATATTACTTGTTACTTACTTTTCAATTATAAATACGCAACCATCTAACCCAATACAGGTTATATGTCATCAGCTGCGTCTGCAACTGCACCAGTCTGCCCTAGTGATCCGTGACCATGGGCCCCTGAAGAGTCACTACACCTGTAGCCATAAACGGCGCTACCTTCATGATAAAACAAGAATAAGAGCATGATTGAGAGTGTCAGTCAGATGCTGTTATATTTTAGGGTAAATGAACATATAATGGCCATTCGTTTTATCACCGTGAATATAAAAAAAAAATCCTACCTTCCGTTAATCACATCTTCACTGTCACCACGCGGAAGTAATTTTTAACAAAAGCGTTTGTTTTGGAGGCAAGTTTGATCTAGCGCTGGTTTTTCAGTTGTATCTCTTCGCAAAATGGCTTCATCTGACGTTCGCGATATTTTGGAATTGGCAGCAGAGGATCGTCCTAATGCTCCACCAACTAAAGCAAGAATCCTCAAACAGGTTTGTGCAGTAGTTATAGTGGTCCATACCGATGCACGATGAGTACTGGCAGACTGAAGTACGGTACGGTACCGGTATGAGACCAGATTCTTGATAAATAAATTAAATAAATCGTATTACTACAGTACCGCTACTAGGTTAGTATGGACTACAATAACCATTGTACTATGGTATTCATCCTATCACAAGCCCAATTCTACTATTTGTCATACTAAAGTCTGAAAGTAGACCACTAGGCCTACCTCTATCATTATTTAATTTTTTTTTATAAAAAAATGACATTAGATTATCTCAATTTACTAATTTTTTTTCACCCTAATTTCGTTGGGTCATCTGTTTGCTATATTCTTGAATTAGTTGATACGCTGCACTCTTATTAGAGACATCTTTTGATAATAAATTTCTTACTCTTTACTCTGTGACTTTCCTCTCCCCCGGGATAAATATGTAAATCATATCCTAATCATATCATAATTCAGTACCGGTGGTGGCATTCTTTCAGACTCTCTCTTCTCTAAATTCAATCCATTTTTTCATCTTTTTCAGGCACGAAGAAAAAGTTCGAGAAAAAATGAAAATGTTTTCAAAAGACCTGAAGGAATGCACAGAGAACTTTATTCACTTTTATATTCTGATAATAGGTACAGAAAAGTGGTCATAAATTTTGATTATTGATATTAACCGTGTTGAGTTGAGTTCGAGTCGAGTCACTGCACTCCTCTGAGTGTCATGTGGAGTCTCTGCTTTGAAGAGTTAGAGGCCGAGTCACAGTAGATTTTATAAACAACACTGAAATGGATAAACGTGAGTTAACAATAAAATTCCCATTTCATGTTATTCAACGTTGAAGACTGGTCTAAACTGGGATTCAATGATGTACTAATAACATTAACTTTCACAACAACATGTTTCTCTAAATTGTTTTTGTGAATCTTGTTGAGAAAAAATTGATTTTCCTCAGGTAATAGACCAGTCGATCAAAGATGGAGGAAATCCTTATAAGGCTATATGAGGATTATGAGGAGTCGTAATATCACCTCAACTTTTACAGTTATTATTAACACTCCTTTGTTCTGCCATACTTGACTGACTCTTTCACATTTTTCGTCTGTTTTTTTTCAACAAACTTGATGCCCAGATAACAGATTACCATACCTGTACCAATGTGTTGCTTTTGTCTATTTGTGTTCGTATATCAGATCATTGATCTCTTATTTTAGGGACCAACCACCTCTGATTCCCACTGACACATCACAAGAATATCAAACAGCAAAAGCCAAACTTGGATGTAAAGTGGTTCGACCATGGAGATGGATGCCTTTTACAAATCCTGGTAGAAAGGACAGTGCTGTGTTCTATCATTGGAGGAGAGCTGAAGATGAAGGAAAGGATTATCCTTTTGCAAAATTTAATAAGGTATTTTTGATTCTATTATACATTTATACCTATGTTATGGAGTCGAATCTTAAGTGGGGATAATCGAAGATGAAATTTCTAACAGAAACTTTAAACGAATTAAGTTGACTAATCATTTTCAACTGACAAATAAAGAATGCTTGCATATGCCATGAATTTTTGTTTGATTCAGAAAGACATTTTTTGAAAATTTTTCAGTGTGGATCCCAATGGGGCTGTTTTCACTCAAACTAATGGGATTAAGTTGAATTAGATATATCGTTAGTGAATTCTTAATTTGGGGAATAATTTATCATAATATTTTATATTAAAATAAGGTAATGTTTTCGGAATATATCCCGGAATATATATTTGGTTTTACTACATGTAATGCATTATCTAATTTCTGAGGTGTCTTTTCTGTTAAATTTCTAACTTCTCATATTTCTTTATAAAATTGTTGATATCGTGTTTTATACTGAAATATGGAATATTTGCACCGAGTCTCTAAGAATTGTGGAATACATATTATATCGATGAGAATCTATCGAAATTTTTCTTTTTGAAAATCATTTTCGAATGCAAAATCTGAATGAAAAAATATCAAATTTAGAGTGTCCAGGTTCCAGTGTATTCTGATCAAGAATATCAACTTCATCTTGCGAAAGAAGATTGGACAAGAGAAGAAACAGATCAGCTCTTTGAATCATGCAGACGATTTGATTTGAGATGGTAGGTTGGTTCTGTTGAAAAAAATCCTATATTTTAATGATTATACAATATTTGTCTTGCAGCCCATAATCTTAGTTGTGTGTGAATTGATTTATTAATTTTAAGTGAGTGAACACGTACCACTTCTTATTGGCAAAACCTTTCATTTTATATTCTGTACATTTTTATTCTTATCTAAGATTTTGTTTGCTGTCCTGATTCCATAATAAAATTTTATTCTATTTTTATTAAACTAGTTTTGTTATGCTGATTATGGAGTCAAAATAAACTTATACTTGAATCTCCATTAGATAGTATCTCATTGTTTTTTTTCACTATTTTCTATGTCTGACTATGAGATTGCCCATGGCCATGTACAACTTTTAAGTCTCATGTTTGAAACCTATTGTTACTTATCGATCTTGATTGGTAAGTATGTTGATATGTCGATTTGTTTGTTTGTCTGTTAGATACCCACGATATCTCACGAAAGCAATGTCTAATTTGCTCCAAATGCATGATAAAGTGCATGTAATAAAAAAAACACTGAGTTTATTCTTTAGTATTTTTGTAAATTTTGAGTCTATATCTTTAGATTAAGTCATTTTTAGTGTATGTATGTATTATTCTTTCTTTATCTTTGCATGTGCATTCATCATATCTCGGATCAGAAGCCTATTGATTTTGGATGAAATATGTCGTATAATTAGCGAGTTATTAATTAATTAGTGATGGGACACATGGTGTCACTGGAGTAAGAGCGAAGAAATCGAAACCGCAGTTTCTGTATTGGGGGATCCCCTCACTTTCGATCGATAAGTCTTCGGTCTCCAACCGATAGTCTCGTTGATGTTTTGGCAACTTTCCTGATTTCCATCCTGATTGTTTGTCTTGTGTGTTGTAATTTTTTAGTCATGGCGGAGTTTGAAATAATTTATTTATCTATCTGCCAAATATCTGTCCTAATTCTGAATCTTATACTATTCAGGTTTGTAGTTCATGATCGTTATGATCATCAACGATTTTCATCGAAACCATCTCGCACAATAGAAGACATGAAAGAAAGATATTATAATATTTGTAACATTCTGGAAAAGGTGAGTAATGATTTTTTTTTGATATAGCCATTAAAATGGCGCTCCAGAAGTATGTGTACCAATATGGAGATAACTAATTTTGTTTGCCTACTTTACATCAAACTGTGTAAAGAAACTGAAACCTATGGGCAGGGGGTATAATCACTTGACTAACACACAGTCCCCGAACTTGTAATAGAACTGTACAAGAAAATAAAAATTGTAATACATATTCGTTCGGGGTGCGAAGTCGTAGTTCGTTTTTTTTCTTCTTGATATTGGAGTCAAAGCTTCCACAGGTTAAATTCTAAAAACTGTAAAGAATCAAATCCCCCAAATTTAATTTCATTCATATTCAATATTCATTGACTCCACTGCGTTCTTTGCTGAATATAACCCAATTTAGAATTAGCCGTCCTTACGTGATATTTCATATCCAAAAATATTACTTTAATGCAGGGGCCGCGAAACGAGTTTGAATTTATTTTAATCTGGTTTGTGTGAGTAATTGCGATCTCTTTGTGTTGCAAGGCCTATACCTAAGACGTTACAATGCTCAAAATCGAACAACACATGGCATAAGATCAATAGCCAAAATTTCCACCCAGTTATTTGTATCTGGTTTTCTTGTATGGAAGTTTGCACACACACCTGCTCTAAAGTGATTTCGGAATAGTAAATTATATTTTTCGTCACCTTATGAATTTTTCATTTTCTGAAAAAAATCTCATAGTTGCGAGCAGCTCCTGGTCAGCCTGACTCTCCATTAGAGCAGTATGTTTACGACGGGGATCACGAGAGAAGAAGAAAAGATCAACTCGATAAATTATTCGAACGAACAAGAGAACAAGTGGTAGAAGAAGAAATTCTATTACAGGAATTGAAGAAAATTGAATCGAGGAAAAGAGAGAGAGAAAGAAAAGCACAGGTTGGTAGAATTAAAATTTGATTTTCACAGTCACAGAGAATGGTATAATTTACACCAGAATTCAAACTCTGAGCCAGTAAAAAAGTTTGACTTTGTCTTCTGAGTCGACCTCGGAGAGAACTCAATTTCGGTAGCAAAAGATGTTGGTATATATGCAATTATGCATGCCTTTCTGAATTTTCTGTTGATGATTCTTTTTATGTTTCTGTCAGAAATTTTGACTTATATTCTCTGCATTCCATTCCAACTTTCGACTCTGAAATATTCAAAATTTTTACTCAGACTTTTGAATAGCTAATCTTACTTTTGCACACGACACGATAACCTGATTCTGACTGTGAAAAATATGATTTTTGAAACTCGAGGCTCCAATTTACACATTAGCGAAAAAGTGCTAAACTTAGAATCCACAGTTTTGTTCTTTGTGTGGAGAAATCTTCTCTCAATATTATTATTTACATTTTTTGATAGGATCTACAAAAACTAATCGCTGCAGCTGATTCTGGTACTGACGGTATAAGAAGAGCAGAACGTAAATCAGTTAAAAAGAAATTAGCGACGTCACAACTCAAGAAAGGTGAAACAGCACAGGAATCAAAAGTATCAGAAGTTATGTCTGGAATTAAATTTCCTGATTTCAAAGGAACTGGTGTTATGTTGAGATCTCAAAGGGTAAGAATTGTTAATAATATAATATGATTTTTGGGATATGTACATTCATTCTGCGGACGGGGGAAGTAGATATGATGGCATAATCATATGGTGAACCACAGACCAGTTACCAGTGCATCTCGGGTATGGAATTAGTTAGCCAGTTATTAGGTTCAGATGGATACAATGGTACAAAGTCATAAACACTAGGACATCATTCCCACCAAATGTACTTTTAGACAATAGGATGAGAAAGTTGTGTATTTTCAACCTTCTGCCCAAAGCCGCTTTTATATTTGATATAGTTTTTAATTGATTACAAAATCAAATTAATTTTAGTCTTGGACACCTCTAAAATTTGACATTTTGTTGGAGCTAATTATAGAGAAGATATGAATCTGTGTGTTTAAATCAACATTCAACAAAAGTAATGGTCATTACAATCTCTAACAAACTCAATCTATATTTCTAGATGAAACTTCCGACGTCCTTCAGTCTGAAAAAAATCAAAGCAATAGAGCAATTAATAACTGACTTCAATATTGATCCTCATCCTATGCCTACACCTACTGTCGCTCAACTATTCAATGAAGTTAGGTCAGTTTAAGTTGCTTTTTTGTGATTATTTGATCTGCTGTCCTTATTTTGTGAAAAATAGTCTGGCTTGAAATTCGTTTGTATTGTGAGAATGTGCAGCGTGTGGCATATGAACAAGATTATGACTTTGATGAATCCTATAAAGTAGGGGTGTACAACCTGCGGCCCGCGGGCCAAATGCGAACCACAGAGAAGGGCCAATTTCGAATGATGTGGCCTGTGAAACACGATGACATAAGGTCAATATCCAAAAATTTGTGCTTGCGACTACTAGAAAGCCTGTTGTAAATAAAGGTACAGCCCGCTGTTTCACCCAGTGTATCTGGCCTTCTTGTATTAAAGGTTGTACACCACTGCTTTAAAGAATTTGCAAATAGTCATTCCCAGGGCTGTGAAATCTGGGAAAGTTTATGTCGGCAATGTCACTGTCTAAACTTTTTGAATCGTTACTTTTACTCGGACATCACAAAAATTTTCAATACTTAAAGTGATTTTGTCCTAATTAAGACTACCATTCCACACATATCACTTTGTACAATATTTATTTACCTGTTTCAGGAGTGATTATGTATTGCTTTATGATCTGAAGATGGCTCACGTTAATTGCGAAATGGAGCTACAAACATTGAGATATAAATGGGATGTTCTTGCACCTGGACGTATCCAACCAACTGGGACTGAGGTGAGCTGTTCAATATTTGTTATTTGAGTAATTATTGTGAATCTGATTCCAGAATTCTGTAATGAATAATGTAAATGAATCTGTTAAAATTAGCTTTCTTTGTGTAGTCCAACAGCAGTGGTTCATTTTTGTAATATAGAAGAGAACCTAGATATTTTTTTTTCTGTTCAAGATTAAAATGGACACTGCCAGCACACAACCAGTCTCCAAAGAAACAGAGACCAGTCAAAGCATTAAAATGGAGGTAAGTGTAAATAAAGCGTGTATATAGGTTCATGACAGCGATGTCACATGATTTGCTTCTGTTTTAATGTAATAATCCTAACAAAGCTGTGGACAATGATTCACTTTTTTTGGAAAAAAAATGAAATATTTTTGGTTTGGGATCCAAGGCCAGTTAATGTGCATGGAGTATTCACTTGAGATCACAAGACTATCATTTCTTAATTCAAGCTCTATCCTATTTTTAACATAAAATTGAAATAATTTAATGCAGACTGAACAAAGTGGATTTGCAACAGGATCAGATTCAAATGAAGGCCTGATTGATGTTGTTAATACTTCTACAACACAGGTTCGTTGCTTTCATTTCTTTCCATCTATTCACGAATACAAGCTTCAAGAATTTATATCGAACAGTTTTTTTTTCCAGAGAAAGCAAACTCCAACAACAAACCCTTTGGCAAGTAATAAGAAGATGAAATCCTGAAAAAATATGAATTGAATGAAGGAAAAAGTTGGGAAAGAATGAGTTTTCGAACGAAAGTTTATAAGGACAGCATACATTGGACGGGACCATGTTAATCTGATGCAAGACCTGGTGCTATTTGTGTGCCTCATTTGCGTTATATGGAATTGAAGCATTTTAGGCCTGTCACAGGTTTATAAACAATTGCAGGGGGGGGGGTGTAATCCCAGTTGTAAGTCATTCATCTTGAATCTTACTGCCAAAATAAAGCTACAAGCAAAGTGCATTATTCCATAGATCATCTGGGATTGTACAGCATAATTTACACGAGAGTGCAGGGTGTGGTGTGCCACGAATTGATTCATTTGAAAGTGATTCGCAATTCTTAAATCTTGGTCACAAATATTATGTGAAAAGTGGGAATTAGGTGAGTCTTTTCGGTGATCGTGAACTCTAAATGAATTACGCATAACTGTTATTAGATTATCAATTATTAGTTATCAAAATCTTGCTATGAACTTCATACCTATGTGAGCTAGAATTTACTTACCTGCTCAACAATATTAAGAATAAACGTGAAAGACTTGAAAATGCGGAAGACGAGTTGTTAACAGTATGTCTCTCTCACAAATGCCAGTGCCTGGCACAACAGACCCACTGACATTCACCATTATTATTATCACAGGGTATGTTGTATTTATAAATAGTATGTATAAAATTTCCCCCCCTCGTTTTTTATTTCATAGCAAAACGTCCATGTTTTGTGGTAGGTGTGCTGCGAATAAAAAGCTCAATAGGTGCCACGATATAAAAAAGGTTGGGAACCACTGCGCTAGGTACATACGTACTGTATGTGTGTGCTACGCTTCGAAATTGCTCTTCATGTGCCTAGCTATATATATACCGTTACCGCCTAGCCATTACCATTAGATAATCCTTGCTAGAGTATTTAGGTATCAATCCTATCAGCATGGAATTGTAAACCCTTTATTGACGAACAGAAAAGTAAGCACATGCACTAAATATGATACAGCATTGCTATCAAACAAAATTAATTCGCTCTAAAACATATTGAGAATCAAATTACGCAATGACCAAACACAAATAAAAAAGGAAAGACGAAAAATTGGCAAATCATTCTGCCAAGCACAGCTAGCAATATATAATCTTTACCTCCTAGTATCTTTGTAAGTTGACTTGTACATGAAATAAATACAAAAAAGCATCAAAATAGAAAAAAATAAACTATGGAGTCCATTTTGTCACGCTACGAGTATAAATAGCACTGAATATGTTGTTCAGACTTGGTTGGAAGATGATCTAAGGAGAGAGGGTAAATTGCATGTGTAATTCATCTAGCTATCATCTATCTTGAATCATTGAGAAGTGAGTTTTTTTAAAATAGAGTAACAATTTGGTTACATCTATGGTAGTTGTACACTACGTGGATCAACAATGTTTGAATAAACGTAGACAAGAATATAGCAGTCCTGACACTTCCTCTTTAGGTTTTCTAAATAAAGCTAGATGTTTACAATGACTAATAATTATTCAAACAAAGTATGAGATTACAGATATTGGAAATTTTAGATGAAATTCGAACGCTCGCTTTATATTTTTTAAATGTTTTACATGGATATAAAAGCCCCTGTAATATAGCACAGCATTGCTATATGTTGAATTAGGAGGTATGGTTTATGGTTTCATCTTACTAGTTAATCGTTCCAGATACTGAACAAAGTGTAGTTCATGTCACAAGCATTTAGATACTTACACACTTGACAGAACCTGGGTGATGACACATGCATCACTGATATCATGTTTTATCAGTCTCGCCTACGAATATAATAAAATTCATGGCAATTTTCTTGATACTGTATATAAGTTCACTTTTTTAACTACGGTAATTGAAAATAATTCTGCTTATAAAAAAAATCTCCCTGTAATCAATTGTCAATAATAAGTAGTGATTAGTTTTCATGTAACAGTTAGTTTATGGCTCCACGATAAAAACAAACCTAAAATATATGCATGAAGTACAATAACGGAAAAAGAAACACCATTTTCGTTTTAGTGAGAGAATTAATAATTTTTGGGTATATTCATAGAAGATTAGATTTGATTCTAAATTGTGAGAAGGAAATTAAAATAATTTAAATTGTTGTAAAATTATTATCTTGAGTAATGAACATAAGCTTTTCTGACAAATATATCCCAAAATCTCAACTTCATTTAACTTCAATACTAGAACTTAGACAATTGAACACATTATTACGTTAACTTTGGTAAATCAGACTTTGAAATGCAATTGGTATAACCATTCTAAAAATGCTAGGATATTAGACTTTTCAGTAATTAACAAAAACAATGCACAACTAAAAAATCGAAACCTGATTATTATAAAGCATGAGAGCTATAAATAATAGTTTGAATAAAATTTTTAATCTAGAAATAAATCGCTTTTTTTATTGCCACACAGATTTTCTTTCTATAATTAATAATACTTCCAAATAATTGTTTTTTTAACACAAGCACAAATTGATTCAAAAATAAAAAAGAATGAAAATCATCGTACAATTTCGGCAACTCTGTCAAAATTCACTGATCTTGCACCAAATTTACCTTGATTCAACATAAAAATAGTCACAGAAAATAATAAAATAAGTGAAATAATTGCAAAAAACAACATCATTATTAAACTGCAGTATTTTGCCACGCCAACAGAATTGTGCTCGATGTTGCGCTCCGCAATTGTCTCCTCATTCAAAACATTAGTAAAGTCATCCCATAACTCGACCGCATCGCTTTCTTTGAGACTATTCTCATGACCATATAAGGAATTTTCTAACTCAATGTCTTCAGGTGAAATAGCGGATATTATATTGTCCGTTAAATTCAGAGAATCATATGGGGCAGTTGGCGCTTGAAAGTTGGGGGTGGAACTTATACCGATATGAACAGTAGAATCGTTTTGATTTACATCTGAAGTAGATGGTATGTCGTTCTGGGCAGCGTCACCAGCCCCGTCACTTGCGGCGGGAGTATTATGAGTGTCATTATTATCCATTTCGGTATTTTCAGTAGGAAGTGGGGCCTCATTAGTGCCATCAGGTGGTGAATTTGGGGGATTTCCCTGCATGTTGTTTTGGAATAAAATTTGTCGAAGTCGAATTTGTCTCTGAATCGCAGGAATCTCGTAATGATGCAGGAAATAAAACATTGAATGCTGAAATTGAAGAATAAAAATTTAACATGTTTATCCAATATATTTTACAATACAATGAATTGATGAACAGTGCTGTGGTGTTAGAAACACGCTTGACCCAACACATTCAATTGAGTTTAGCATCATTTTTGGCAGTGGTTCTCAAACGATGAGGCGCACCTCACAAGGGGGGTGTAGGCAATTTTTAGCGTGGAGCTAATTGAAAATAAAAACATTTGTTAGATTCGATCTTGCCTGCCTTATTTGTTCCCAAAACATTTCACTTATTTCATTATTTACCTGTAATGTGTCTTTGAACAAAACATATTTCCGCCTTACTATCAGTTATTTGTAGCTTATTGTTATCTAATTATTTTTGGAGTGGGGCGCAAGAATTAACAAACTCTAAAAAGAGGGTGAGGCTTAAAAAGTTTGAGAACAACTGCCCTATGGTTTTGCCTACCCAATTATCACTACATCCAGGGTTGCGGGCATGGGTCTTGAACTTTAACCTGTGACCCTCAGCCCAACATTATTATACTTGACACTTCATTTTTTGTCTAAAGCTTAGGATCTTTGAGTTCACTAAAGTTAAAAAAATAAGTGAAATTACCTGTATGAACAGCCAAGAAGTAAACAAAGCAAGTTCGCTGAACTGTCCATTAAATCTGTAGTGATATGCGTAGAATGCAAAGTGGTAGAGAAAGAAAAATCTGACCCAGTGACGACGACTGATAACAGTGTGCATACATATTGCATCAAACTGATCTGCAATCCATATCTGTGAATGCAGAGAAAGGGTTGAAACTTAGAATATAAAAATGTCAAACCATGACACTTTCGTCAAGTGGCTCAGGGGTTTCTATCTACTCCAAACAAAACAAGATTCAATAATTATAAAAGATCACGAAAAGATAATCAGAACTGATATCAAAAAAATACGATGAAATTCACAAGCGAACACTTTTTATATGCAATAATTTTGTACAGTTAAAAAAATAAATGAGGAATTTTCGAGACTGTTCAACCATCTCAAATTGGGAACCTCTCTCTCCGATGAGAGGTGAGAAAGAAAGCTGTGCATGGATTTGCTCCGAATCGAATATTCGAAGTGATTCAAAAATAATTAGATACAACATACAATATTTTGTATAGTCGATAAGAAATTTTTTCATCCAGTTTCATTCAAAAAATTATTGTTTTCAACAATTTAATTACGGTATGGGTTTCCGAAAAGATAAATAGAAAATCGATTGGATCACTGTTTATTCAAAATTCCCTGCAATTTTAAATTCTATGTTGAACATGACAACTCAAGAATATATTTGATATATTTTCAAATTTAAAATTATAATCTTAGGTTGTATTCGAAAAAGTACCGGTAGATTAGCGTATCATGTACCGGTAATAGCCATTTCTGTTCAACAATACTTTTTTACCAATTAAACAAAAACCAATTCCAGCTTATTTTTTATAAAAAAACTAATTCAGATTCAGTTACTTACTGATAGAATAACATAGAAAGCCAGTGTTGAATCATGGAAAAACTCTGTCATAATTTCTTCAGTCCCCACAAGAGCTAGGATAATTGTCAACATGGGAGCAGCAGGAAATACAGGTGTTGCATCAGTATCAAGAATGTGGAGGAGCTCAACTACAACATAAAAAAATATATTAAAATTTAGGCAAAAGTGAGGTTAATACTTTTTATACGCCGAACAAGGGTTGGTACATACAGTCACCACAGTAGCCTATGTTACATACTTGGGAATGGCCTTTTTTGACAACTGTCATTATGGATGGACAATGAGCCATCTTTTGGTCTGTGTTTCAAAGCTGTTCTTCCTCTAGATTTGATTTTAAATCGTGCATTATTTCTATTTTGGGTATAGCTGTTGCATATGAGCTTTAAGAAAATGCAATTCTCTGAAAATCTTGAAATGTGACGTAACCTAGTATACGATTACAAAGACCAAAATAATAAATATAAAAAATATAATTCAACATATCCATTGCCATATTATTCATATTTACCATAGTTATTATGTTTGTCCACCCTAACTCGCATAACTGACACACAATTCATTATTGTATATCCAAATCAACGATTGAAACATACTTACCCATGAAAACGAAGATTTGATGATATGAGTATCGAAGCAACATTGTTACAACCAGAGTCTGAAAAACAGCGTAAAATGTTAAAGGTATCCAAAATTTAATCTTCCTGAACAAACTTCTGGTTTTTAAATTAATAAATATCATATATGATTTATCCTGATTTTTTATACTAATATTTATTTGATTCATAATAACTATAATTGAAATGAATCGTGATTACAATTTTTAAATACTTCAATTAAAAAAATATTTCTCATAAAAAACAAGCCAGGCAATCAATTCAGTAACTAGAATCTTATAAAAATGAATACAAATGGAGAAAACGGAAAATAAACCACAGAATATATTGACCATATTCGGTCGACGGTACTCATAGATTTAAAACATTACATCCTCCCAAGATAAGAGCCAGGATCCAGGTGAATGTTATTGCCCTGTGACTAAAGTACTTTCTGAGGGTTGGCTGCCTACTTTATTCAAGTTCAGTTCTGCTTTGTTTTAGTTATATTTAAAACCTAATAATATCCTTCTACCAATTTGACAACTTCATTTGTTATCTATGGATAAAAACTTTGCTTATTTGAATGAAATAAATACAAACACTCACAAACACCAGCATGACAGCAAAAGCCAGTAGATATGATGCATGGCTGACCCATAGTGTGATGAACTTGTAGTGTTCCCCAGTGACCAGGTTTCTCAGATATCCTGAAATGGTTTAAAGTTGCTTATAAAGACAACATGTAAATTTGATGCTAACAATGTTGTTTAAAAATGACCTTCATCTTTGAGTGCGTTTGAAAACAACCAGCCTAGATTGTAAACTACTGGAGTTTTTGAAAGTGGAATTTTTTTCAAGTACAATAATATATTACTAGTTAATAATGTCATCATAACATTGAATAGCTAGAAATATGGAAAACGTTTTGAGGAGATAAATTAGGCTTCATTTCCGAGCAACTAGGTAGAGATATCACAAAATATATTCAAAACCATAAATTCTGCTGTTTTTACATTTTTCACAAAATATGAGATTCTTGCACAGGAATAAAGATTTCTAATAATTTATAAGATAAAATTAGACATTTATATCACAATTCTAGATAGGTTAGAATTTTCACATTCATCCTGGAAAAGAGTTGAAACTGTTCAATCTTGGAGTTAGAGGGAAGTCACAATCGCTAGGTTTCCAGTCTATGTCAGACATTGGAAATAGCTAGCCAGTTATTCATTTTAAATGCATGGATGGTGGGGAAAGCTGCAACCGATCAGCAACGGGATTCGAACCAGCAAAGGGTAATCGTACGATGTAAAGTGTATTCCTAGCACTTGCTGTTGAATAGAATGTAAAATCGAAATAAGTTGTGAATTCAGAACCCTACCTCCTCCTTGTTTATTATCTTTCTCAGCCAGTTGTTTGATGCTGCTCATCACCAGATCATCGTATCCAAAGAATGTGTCCAACATCCAACGCTTCATTCCTTCACCAAAACAAGAATCCCGCAATGGATCTGAAGATAAGATTTCAAGCGTTATGAAACTAAATGGTTGATTATAACAATTTACATAAGGCCTGAAGGTTTATTATTTACTCAAGGGTCCCTTTTTCAAAAAGTGAGAAAAACTCATATGAAAAATTGAAGTAATCGCAATATATAAATTTAGAAACCAAAATACCTTGTTGGTTAGTTCTCGCCACTAACTGATATACATTGGATATAAAGCTGTTTTGAAGGCTTTGATGACAAACGATTGGTTGGGAAGAAAAGGACTCTTCTGAAAACATATCGCCTTCTACCATTTTGGATCCCAATAGGTTGCATCATAACACTCTGAGCAAGGCTGTATACCAATGGCCTTTTGGCATATAACCCAATTACATAAAACTACCACAAGATACTCTGGAGTCTGAAATTCTAAACCTGTTATGTCACCATTGATCATGATATTTATAATTGCAAGTTACTTCAGAGCTTACCTAAAGTAACTACAAGCACTGGTATCCCTAGTTTATGTCTGGTTGTTGCAGACAAACGAAGATATCCAAATTCAGCACTATATTCTATCGCATAATACTCTCGCACAGGTTGAGGTCCAACATTGAATCCTGAATGTTCTTGCATTTGTAACATCTTCAACTCAGCGATTGTATCAGAGACAGATGGATCTATCAGAATCCATTTTGGTACGTCTGAAATAAGGAAAAATATATTGATATATTGTGACTTTCACATTGTATAATTGTGCGGTGTAAAACACGGTATAAATGCATATTAGAGCAAGCATATACCTCATAGTCATACCACACATTTAAAATAAAGATTAATTATGAAAGACTATTTTTTAAACTAAAAATATTTAAAACAATTCGGAATTCAAATACAACACGATTCTGAAAATGATTGCAGCCTCTACCAATACTGCTAATGGTATTTCTTTTAAAATACAAGACAGCATCTGACATATTGCGAATGATAAAATCTTTAATCAGCTATTGATTAATTAAATCATGTAATGAATAATGCAGATTATCACAGAAAGATAATGACCTAATGTCGTGATAAGTACATGATGCATATTGTATTACATCCTAACATAGAATATTTTATAAAGAGAAAATACAGAGAAAACTTACGGTATATAAAAAGAGAATACTAAAGGCTGATTACTGAATAGTAAGATATTCAAAAATTTCACTTTACCAATTAATTAATTCAAAAGGGTTATTTTCACAGCTAAATCATTCATATACATTCTAATTGTGAATAAATTGAGATTTTATTGATTTTGGAAAAAAATATATTATGAATGAGTTTTTTAATCCAGGAATGTTCAAACAAAAAATGATAATTTTGAGCAATTTAGGAGTCGTTCTATACTACTAATAAAATGCTTTCATTCAATTTCTGAAAGCAATGAAAAGTTGATAACAGAGAACCAATAGAATCATTGTTATAACTATCATTGCATCCAATTTTATGGATTATCAGTTATTAAACATGACCCAGTTTGTTTTAATATATTCGAATAGACTATTCAACATTCACAAATATATAACTGAATTTCAGAAAGTAGCCAAGAGTAGTAAATTGTTTGCTTTTGGCTGTCCCTGTTCAGTCAACCACGTTAGCCAAACTGTATAAACACTTAAAAACTAAATTTCCATTCCTACCTTCTTTTTCTTCTGCATGTAAAAATTGAACATTGGGCACAGTTTCAGAGAATCGTTTCTTTAGCATTTCCCTGTGTTCATCTCTCATGAACTGGGTCATATTAAACAAAGGACACTGTAGATTTTCTTTCACTCCAAACTAAAAAAGCCATTAGAAAAACTAAAATTAATTCAACAACATCTTATCAAATACCTTTTAATACAACCAAATATTTCAATACACTTTTACATATTTTCCCCTCAAACACGGGGCATTGCAATTACGTTTACCCCATTTGGTACTGATCCTTGGCAATAAATAATTTAGATACCACCCTGAAATAATGGCAATTAATCAATATATACATCATCACAATAGGCTTACTTACGTAAATATGAATTTATTTGTTGTTATAAACAAAGAAAGATAACTGGTTAGTATATGAGATTATGTATGCAAAGATCAGTTGATATTTCATTTGAAAACGAAAATATTTTGAATTTCTTTTATTTAAACAATTTATGGATATAATTATCGATTGAGAAATATGGCTAAATTACATGAGTCTCTGTATGTTATTCTTAAGTACAAATTTTAAATCTCCTTAACATGGTATTAGTTAAATGAGAATAGCATAATCTCACTAGCAAGTAATTCACTGTTTGATCAAGTTATATCTGGTTTCATCTGAATACGTTAGACTATGATTTAACAAAAGCTTGCTAATATACTTGCTAGTTCATGGAAAGAGATTACCGGTATGCGTTTCCTATTTATCTTTATAATACTATCTCGTTTAGGCATCCTTGTGGCAACCGACACATACAGATCCGAAGTGAGAAATAAACAAGGAGAAAGGACTTGCAGTTCAATGTACAATACCCTAGTACCCATAGTATTACTTAATGTAAATTAAGAGATATAGCTTACCAATTTTCTTGCTCTTTTTAAAGGCATATTTGGCGTCGTTCTAGTGAATTTACCAATTGTAGGAATCCCATCTTTACCAAACTGCACAGAGTATTTGAAAACCGCTTGATAAGGATCGGTTTCTAAAGATGTAGCCCAATTATCGGGATCTGCTCGAGCGAAGAAAAACTGAAAAGGGGGTACCGAGGTGTTACCCTCAACCTGAAAAACAAGAATCATTTCAATACTGAAAAAGAAAACACTTAATTTAATTGAGAAGTTTCATTAACCTGGACTTTCAATACACCAGATCTTGGCCAGATGTCTTCAACATGTTCCAAACATTTTCCAGAATCTTTCACAAATGTTACGTGAATATATATCAATATCATCAACATAATTATAGCCTGCAATACAAAACGAATATTATTATTATACGTAGAAGTATATAGGTTGATAGTGTGTTGGACACAATATTTTTATATATAATCAGGAAAATCATGTGCAAGAGGGTTTCAGGATTTATTGATGTAAACCCTACTCGAGACTCTGGGATTTAGGTCTTCTACCCTACACTGTATGGGAATACTTTAAGTAACCTGTTGTTAATTACAATCTCATCTACGATCAAAATACTTAGCTTGTCAGGTGTCAGGTATTCCATGCTGAACCACAACAGGTTACAAGTCTAGTTTGCCAGTAAACAGTTTGACAACAAATTGGTTAAATTTCCTAGGCTTGGAATAAACATGAAAAATGTTATTTCAGAAGATAAAATAATTCTCAATCGTAACCTGGCTACTTCCATTCATTTATTGGTGTTAATTAAAGTCAAATACAGTACATATAATAACAATACTTCATCTTAGTACATACATATTGGCATAGGAAATCAGGGACTCGTGTTTTTGAACTCGAGAATGTAAAACCAGACTCAATTCCTTATACCCAATAGCATCTCACTCCTACCTTTATAAGAGTAAAAAATTCTATCATTCTTCGCACTGTTGGTTTAAAATAAGTTGCATAACGGACTGACAACGTGATGAAAAGATAATGCATGAAAAATCCTTCTCTGCTCCGAAGATTGTTGCGATTCACTCCTGGGAAAAATAAGATTTCTGTATTTTAAGATTGTTTCGATTTCGAATGAAATACTTGAATTTAGTGTAATGATCTAGCAAATAACTTGTGACGATGTTGCTGAAAATTGCAAACGCGATTGTAGATCGATTTGGAATTGGATGCTTTGACCACTCTTTTCGGCCAATAATTAAGATGAATCTATGCCTAGTCAATGATAATAAAGTAAATGGAAGTTGGAAATCCAACTGTGGTTCCAACCAATACTGAACCGTGGCGGGCACCAAAGTTTGTCAAGCACTTTCATACTATAAGTCATGTAAGATAAAACATTCATGCAGTACTTTACATTCCCTGCAAATTTCGGGTCCATCGGAACATTTGACATTCTTACAATAATAGAGTGAAATATTTGAACTACTTACCGACTTATGGTAAGAATCGGCAATTTTCTAAGATATGACATTTGAATAAAATATATCAAATTAAATCGATACTCTATAAACTCCTCAGCTTTTTACCTGAACCTCCTCTTCGATTACGATGTCTTTGTCTATTATTTGTATTTCTCGTAGTTTGGTTAGCTCCAGGACTTGGAGGGGTTGGTGTGATACTTGTGCCCGGATTGTTAGTAAAATCGTTCGAATCAGCTGGGTTGCTAGCAGAATCATTTGAATGTGTAGCGCTCACTGATGATCCATTGGAATTTTCCATCTTGTGAGACTATTGTCTGCTTGTACAACTTAGTTTCTATGGCTTCAGATGTTTTTTGTCAAAAAATCAGAGATAGTCTACATTACTGAAAAAATGCCAAATTACAGTATTAGTGATAGGATGGCAATACAAATCAATTTTAATCATGAAAAACTTAATATGGGATATGCTGGATATGGGTTGACCATGGCGCGGCGGTGTGGCTCAACGGGCTAAGCGTTAGGAATACGCTTGTTCGCAGGTTCGAATCCCATGCAGGAATGGTTATGTGCGAGAGGATTGCTGGACTCCTGGCCGTCGTTGGGTGGTTCACGTAACCGCTGGTCGGTTACGGCTTCCTCCACCACCAAGTCTATGCTTTCGAAAACAAACAATACAACTAATCCCATGCCCGACTTGGAATGGTAACCAGACGAGAGGCCATGGTTCACCATATGGATGAGCCGTCTTATCGGTTTTCCTCTCCCCCGGGATAAATATGTAAATCCTATCCTATCCTTTTACAGTTTTACCGGTACAGGTACCACAGTACCAATACTGTTTTAAGTATGGTAGGCTGGTAGGTACCGTACTGCAGTATTGTATCTGTATTACTGTATATTGAGTATTTTACCATTGTCAATATTCAGATATCTACCCAGACTGCCAGAGGTATATCAGTATATATGGACTTATTTTGAAAATGGGAAAATAATAATGGTACCGGTACCGGTAATTTGGGTCTCATGGAGTTACGTACCCAACATACTTTTAGTGGGCGTAGCATGACAGTTTTTTCACGTATCAATCCTAACCCCCACCTGACACGGCAGATCAGTAAATAAAATTCCCGATCTTTTCAATTAATGATTAGAACCTTGGGTGTCGCCGCCCGACAACCATCTTTGGTTCTTCGCGACTTCCCTTCATCATTAAAATTGTCTGGTTATCTCTCTTTTTCTGAATGTTGTATGCGATAGTTTTTTGCTGATTGAATAAAATAAACGACTCAACTTGACTGGCTCTGAACATCGCTCTGCCGCTTACGCTTTCTGGCTTTTGTGCGAGGCAGATAAAACAACAACTGCTCTGACTCACCTTGTTGACCCAATCTCCGCATACACAGACAAAGCTCTTTTTTATTTCCAATAGATCGAATTAAAATTTGATTAGTTCTCATCTAATTTTGATGATTAGATCCCATTTCTCGAAAATAAACATTTGCATAGAAAAAACAGAAAAACAAATTTTTATAAATCTACAATAACAGGAACAAAAATTATACAAACAAAAACATATTACCTATTCCCCATTTTGCACCATTAGTCCAATTGATTGATTGATTTTGATATTCCAAGTCGAAATGGACACAGACAAAGCTCTGGCATCGGTATTCGATTACCGAAACTGGATTAAGGAGGCGGTAGAAGTACAAATTTACATGAAACCTGACCTCATATTAATGCGAAAACGTGACTTATGATGACCTTTGGAAGGGCAGGCGATAAATAGACAGTTTATTTTAAACCTCATTTCATACTTGGGAATATACTCAAATAAAATCGCTACCTTTACTGCGCAAAGGGTCTAAACATTACACGCATTGGAAGTCGCAACTCCCTTCCACTAAAATATAAGCTCAAGATTTTCGAATTTATTCTCAGAAAATGGAAATTAGATATGACGACTAGGTCATACTACAAAGGCGGTAGAGTGCGGGAATAGATCTTCAATTTTACGCAAAAATAAATATGTTTACTTCCAAGAGAGAGAGTCAGGATCAAGATTTGCAAATTTATCCTGGGGGAGTGGGAAAGTATGGCGAACCGCGCCCTCTCATCCAGTTACCAGTTAGTTCATATCGGGTATGGGGCTAGCTAGTCTGGGCTTGATGGCGGAGGATGCCGTAACCGACCAACGGTTACTTGAACCACCCTGCCGCGACGAGAAGTCCAGCAATCATCTCGCACCTAATTATCCCATATGGGATTCGACTCTGCGGAACCAACGCAAGATAATCAGGGGTGCTGTGAAAAGCGGTGGCACGGCGCGCTACACCAAGCTATCTTACAGGGCAGTTGAGACGGCTTAATCATATTGCGAAGAGGCCACTGCGGGTTACCAGTTCATTCCGGATTGGAATTAGTCAGCCAGTTATTTGTTTCAGATGCATGGAGGAAGCCGAAACCGACCAGCAACGTGAACCTTCATTAGCGATGTGGCGTATCGTGCTGCGCCAGTCGTTTTCAACTTTTTACTGACCTTTTACAATGAAACAAGACACGCGCTATGGAAGTATTTTATAACGTTGCATTACATCCTCTGTGACCTAATTCGCAAGACGGACGAAAAACATGTCCATCTCGATATTCGTTCGAGGACAATAGCAAGCGAGGGCGATTCCTAAAGACTGAACTGGTCCATAGGACGTTTTTCCGACCCTTGACCGCAGGAAAATTCTTCCTATATGAAAATTATTATACTTGTTTTGAGAGTGTTTTGATGTGTTGAAGCTTATAAGCTGGTATACGTGTTTGAAACCCTCATTTTTATTAAAATTAATCAGCCATGTGCCGCTTACAAGCACTGATAGCTTAGCTTAGACTAGCTTATCGCAGCATTTGCGAGACTTATTTTTGAATATAGCAACCAAATTAACACTTCTTTGAAGATATAATGACAATTAAGATATATATTGAATTTACAACTATTTTTTGATACACAACTGAAAACTGACAAATACCATGCAAAACTACAAAAACGAGGAAATGTTTACTTTACAGCCATACTTGAATATCTGTCTGAGCGACAGAAGTGTCTGAACGGCTGCAGAAAAAGCAATTGTTACGTCATTGTTGACTTTTTGCTGGAAATTGATGCCCGGTGAAACATTCATAAAGTTCGTTCAGCGCATACATACAGTATGGAAGATGAGGCGTTGTTGGCATAATTTTAACCAACTCAAAAGTTATTTGTTGCAATATTTCAAAGCTGCTCGCGTACCACTCGAACATCTTCTGTGTACCAGTAAGTGGTACGCGTACCACCGGTTGAGAACCAGTGTGCTAAGCGTTAGGAATACGCTCGCCATCGCCTCATATTGGTACACGTATATACTTCTGAAGCGCCGAATTTTTTATACCCGAATTTTCAATTGCGCTTCAGCGTTTAATGGAATAATTAGAGTTGGTCTGACGGCTCAAACCTCAATATTGCCTCCTTTAAAATAAATTTTGCTTTTTTCTTACGTATAACCTTTTCTCCTCTATAAATGTTTGTGCGCATGTGACCAATTTCCAAAAAAATATCAATCAATAATGTCTTCAATCGATAATGAATCCGGAAATTCCATATTTAATTTCAGATAACATATTACTTCTTAGACATAGGGCACCAAAGTCTTAAGTGCTCAGGGTATTTAAAAATGTAAAAGGCATGATCCGGCCTTGGACAGGATAGACTGAACTTTTGAATTCTGGGAACCTTCATTACCGTAGAGTTATGATAAGTTCATAACATTCTAAAGTGAGCACACAGAAGAGAACTAAGTACAGTCGGTGTGTTAGTAAGAAGCTAAATTAACAATGTTCTGCCTAGAGTGGTTGAGTGGGGTACAGCTACCGTACCGATATCCCGGTATCGATATTTCGGCATAGTGGTTAGAAATATTGAACGTCAAAAAGTAACGGTACAATAGCCTACTACATTTCAAAATACTGGTACGGTATGTATGAAAAAAGAGATATCGAATTTAGTGACGACTAACGTTTTTTAAATATTAAAGTCACAGTGAAATGCTATTCAAAACGTTTAATGACCGACCGTTTTTAACAGTAATACTGTCAAAAAGCGCCAGTCATTTAACGTTTAAATGGCATTTCACCGTTACTTTTTGAAGTTACGATAAAATGCTACTTAGAATATTCGATGACTGACCTTTTTTAATAGTAATACTATTAAAAAGCGCCAGTCGTTTAACATTCGAATGGCATTTCACCGTTACTTTTTGGAGTTACGGTGAAATGGTACTCAAAAAATTTAAGTACTGACCTTTTTTAACAGTAACACTGTCAAAAAACACCAGACGTTTATCGTTTGAATGGCATTTCACCGTTACTTTTTGAAGTTACTATGAAATTCTCTGTGAAACAATTAATGACTGCGCTTTTTAACAGTAATACTGTTGAAAAGAGCCAGTCGTTCAACGTTTGAATAGCATTTCACCGTAACTGTTATTCTATTTCACTGAAGAGATAAGTTTGGGTCACAACGCGTTTTTTTTTTTTTTTTTTTTGGTTTTCAAACAGTGGGGCGCGCCCTACAATAGAGGCGTAGACATTTTTTTTTGAGGGGGCGTGAAGCCAAGGTAAAATGAAACTATTTGTTAGATTTGATTATCCCCGCTTTGTTTTGGATATTTACATTTCTTAATTATTCACATTTCTTTATTATATACACGTATTTCAATTTTCTGATTAAAACATACTTTCGCCTTACTATCTAATATTTGTAGCTTATTGTTAGCTAGATATTTCTAAGGTTGGGCCCGGGACTTGATAAATTCTAAAAGTGGGCGCGGCTTAAAATGGTTTGAAAACCCCTGCTCACTCTTGCTCTACGATTCGTAGGCGCATAATAATGCAAGGATGCTGTAGTCAGCGCTAATTCAACCATTAAGCAAAAGAAGCGCGCTCAGGAAACCAAGGAAAATGGAGACCACAGAAAGCCGAATTTTCAATAGTGTAATGAAATGATTAGTCGAATTGGTCAGGCGATTCAGACCTCAATATTAGCCCGGTTGAAATAAATTTTGCTTGTTTTTCTTATCATGCTAAATGTTTATAGTCATGAGAACTATTTTTACAAAATGTGAAACTAATCATGATTTGGCCTTCAGTCGCTAATGAATACTGGAACTTACTTTCAATTTCAGATAACACCGAACGCTAGTTACATTCCTAATGTTATATTTTATATAGAGGGCACCAAATTCTTGAGTGTACAGGGCTTCTAAAGGCAATGAACAGGCACTGCGCGGAACCCCTGGCCTCGCTGGCCCCTTGCGAACCTTCGTTGTAAACCACTGTGTTGGTGCATAATTCTCAGTTATATCATCTCATCAATTCATCAGTCCAATGAGAATATAAGCAAAGTATCGCACTTAAAATACCGCGTTTCAATTATTAGTAAATATTCGCGGCAATCGTATTGCCAAACCTGCGTATTGTGAGCCAACGCATCGAGATTTAATTGTGTGCAAAGACACTAGGGTAGTGATATATTATGGTGGTGTTACAATTCTGAATACCCATCCTAGCTTACTGCTTAATCGTTTATGAAGTTCGCATACAATCACTATATAGCGGGTAGCGGCTATAATAGTATCATAAATAAATACTAACACAGTCAGTTAATATATATATTTGTTTAATATAATTTTATTTAGGCCTAATAGAACAAAATAGCTTTATTTCTGCACGAGGGATGAAATGAGATCTATTGGAAGCGGGAACACAATGGTGGAATTCTTTTCCGCGCTAATTGATGACAAGGTTTGAAGATATCGGAGTTGCATTGCATTTGGAGAATCACTCATAACATCTGCGGCTTCTTTCAGCTTTCTGGAGGCGTTCATTTCTCCTTCGGCTGCAACCACTTTGGCCCTGGCTTCCCGCGATGCCTCTGCTTCCGCTGCCATTGCTCTCTGAAGTTGAAAAGGTAATCTGACATCTTTGACTTCCACTCTTTCGACTTTGATGCCCCATTCGTCTGTCGCAGCGTCAAGAAAGGTAAGCATTCCATTTGCGATTTCTTCTTTGTCAGTTAAAACTTCAGAAAGCAGTTTTGTGCCTAACATATTACGGAGAGTAGTTTGAGCGAGAAGTCTTGTTGCGCCGTCAGCATTTTCGACTTTTGTTATCTTCAATGTGGCATCTTGTACGCGATAGTAGACCACGGCATCGACCGCAATGGTGACGCTGTCTTTCGTCAAAATTTCCTGCGGTGGAATGTCAAACGATTTGACTCTTAAATCCACGCATCTGTACTCATCAATGCAAGGTATAATGAAGAAGATTCCGGGTCCTTTAGCTCCCCCACTGAGCCTTCCAAGTCGGAAAATAACCGCTCGCTCGTATTCATTAACAACTTTTAGACAGACGCACAAAGAGAAAGGGCCAAATGCTATAATTGCCAAAAGGGAAAGTACTGTTAGGAGTGCCCCACACACTTGGCCAATGCATTCCTGCTCATCTGTGACTTCTGGTTTTCCTCCTCTGTTCTGCATGCTTGCTGGTGTTACTTTATTCATGTGGCTATCACACCTACTTCCCCTTAAGCATCCATTTACCGGCGAAAAGTATAACATAAAGCGAAATGTAAATAGTTTTTATTTCTTTTTGGTTTATGTCGTCATAATCGCAATTTTATTTGGTCACCAGACTAGTAGATTCCTAAGATAGTGCGTATATTCTTGGGGTCACAAAATTTGGTAGAATATGAAATAACTTATAATGACGCCCTTTGGGGGATTGGGTATTATGTACTTTTATTTCATACTCATTTTGTTCGCCTACTTTACTTCGAGTTGTGTGAAGGGACTGGAACCTATGGGCAGCGGGTATGTTGACTTGGCTAACACAGACATTCCTTGAACTCGTAATACAACTAAACTAAGGGAAATTGGAATAAAATTATGGCCTGACCCTAACCTGGTACATACACTACGGGGGTAACCGTAATTGTGTGAAAAATTTAATTCGAATTTGAAATAACGGCTAAACACTCATCGGCAAATTTTACAAACCTTTTAAAACCCCAATTTATTTATTTCGTCCAATTCCCTGAACGTCCAGAATTTGAAATTTTGTCAATCAACTCAACGAAGGAACATACACATCACTTACCACTTTACAAAACATATTTTATTGAACACGAATTGTACAAATTAGACGTTAAGTTATAATTTAGATGTTAGACTGCCTGCCCTGCCCTTGAACGCCGGTTTCCCGCGAAGATCTTTTTTCTTGCGAACAAGTGCAGCGATGACATTTGATGGAATGGGGATGATTATAGTCTTGTTGTTTTTGTCGCTTATCCCGGTTAAAGTTTGCAAATAACGAAGTTGTATTGCATTTGGAGAATCGTTCATTATATCCGCGGCCTCCTTTAGTTTCTTAGATGCCATCATTTCGCCATTTGCAGACACTACCTTTGCTTTGGCTTCACGGGACGCCTCAGCTTCGGCCGCCATAGCTCTTTGTAACTCTGGTGGTAACTTGATGTCTGTTATTTCCACGTCGTTTATTTTTATTCCCCATTGATCGGTGGCAGCATCCAAAGCTTGTCGCATTGAGGATGCAATTTCGTTCTTATCGGCTAAGACTTCAGCAAGAGTTTTAGTTCCGAGTATACTTCTTAGTGTGGACTGTGCCAGCATTTTAGTATTGTCTTCCGGATTTTGCACACGAGCAACTTTCAAAGTCGGGTCAAAAACACGCCAGAAAACAACCGCGTCAACACAAAGTGAAACGCTGTCTCTTGTCAAAATTAATTGCGGCGGGACGTCTAACGTTTTCACGCGAAGGTCCACGATTCTATACTCTTCCATACAAGGTATCATGAAGTATAATCCCGGAGCTTTTGGTCGATAGCTCTTAATTCGGCCAAGTCGAAAAACAACGGCTCTTTCATACTCTTTCACAATTATAATGCAAGACGAGATGGTCAGAGGAAACGTCGCAAGAATCAGAAGAAATAAGATAAAACTCACAATTGCTTCTATTACATCTGCAACGGGGTTAGATTCTATTTCTAAAGGCTGATTCTGCTGAACTTGCACGACCGTCTGCTGCTTCATTTCTAATGAAAACTATTTTTCATATGCTCATTTTTGTTACTACTATACAGTTTTGAATTTGAATAAACTTTGAAAGTTAGTTGTACACAGAAACTGTAACATGAATTATGACGTCACATTGAACGCTTCCCAACAAAGTTTGAATGATATGATTTTGGGGGAAATTGTAGGTAAAATATTTCGTTTTGCTTTTCGTGTCCATATATTCGAGCCTCGCTCTCTTGTTTGTTTTAACGATTAAACTTAACCAGCTGCTCATTTTACTCGGACAGATTTTCAAGCGTATTATAAACATTAATCAGAGCATTTTCTAAATATTATTTTTCTTTTTCAGTTGTGTTTTCAAAATTCAGGTATAAATCAATGGCCCCGCGTCATTTTGTTTTCGGATGAGTTTTGATTTAGGTGCTATGATAATACCGCCTAGAAGAACTGCATCTAAAATTGACTCTCGTAATACAGTATTGAAGAAACTGCAAATTGCCTATTCGTTGAAATAAAATGTAAATTAATCTTCACCTGAAACGAATTTCTTAATTTTTTTAAAATGATATATTTGCAATTTATTGAAAAAAGATGCTTTCCCTCTCATTTCTTTTAATTACAACCGTATTTCTTCTCTGTCCCATCATGAGCGCAAACATTCGTTTAAAAATTAATACATTCTTGCAATGTCTGACTCTGATGTAGGCTACAGAAAAAGTAAGCTTCCCCTTGATCAAAAATTTGGCGACGACAACAAACATGGAGGGTTGATTTATTTGTTGAACAGTCGTATATTATTTAAAAAAAAATACATATCAAAATATTTACATTTCAAGAAATATACTCCCGAATGCATCGATATCTGACCCGAAAAAGAAACAAAATTTACACGCTAATACAATTTAATTTACAGTTTCTCTTCAAAAATTGAGAAGTAATAGAGTAAACATAAAATATATATTTTAACATTAAATCGGGTAGTTGTTCTATTTTGTTCTAATAAGATTGAACGAGATCTAGAAAACAGATTTTAAAACTCCAATGAATAGATGTAGAGAATTAAGATAAACTGCGACCCTAGTACGTTTAAAAACTAAACTTGCTATTTTCGGGATTGTATCTGGACAGCAGTAAAGATAGCTATTTTGTATCATATTCTTGCGAAAATTCGCCAAGTATTCAAAATGGCGAATCAAATTGTTTTGGTCACCCTTCATTGCTGAAGCAAATCACGTATTCGTGTGTGGAATATACTCAAAAGCTTCGTATTAAAATATCGAAAATTTATGTATAATTTTGCGAACTGATTAAAAAATGGGACAGAAGCGATATATTAGGATTGAAAAGTAAAGTAGAACAACCTAAAATCAATAATAATACTCGCGAAGATTATAAATTGAAGTACATGCTAATAGTATATTATTTGAAGAATTTAGCAAACCCAAGATTGTTAGAATTGACATCGATCTTAGAATTTGTATTTTTAAAAACATCATGAGTTTTCAGTTTTAAAAATAAAATATTTTACGAACATTTGAAAACTATTGTACAATATTTTCAATACCAATGTAGTCTCATCGTAAAACGAAATACACTCAGTAATTTCGTATCATTGATGTACAATTATTGTTGCCAAGTTTCAACAGACATAATACTATATTTATGCATTTAAATAATCAGCCTTATATATAACATACAAGTGGACGGACAATGGAATACAGTGCCAAATGGTATACTACTTTATTGTATAAAAAGCTGCAGTTAAAGTCAATTCAAAGATGAATCGTCTTAAGCAAAAAATTTCTGAAGAAGCGCACGTACGACTTCTTCTTGAAAAGGTACAATCACAGTCTCGTTACGATCAGCACTGATGGAATTCAGGGTTTGTAGGTACCTTAGTTTAATCGCGTCGGGGGAATCACTCATAATATTAGCTGCTTCTTTTAATAGCCTTGAAGCCTTTGTTTCTCCTTCAGCAGAAATGACTTTTGCTTTAGCTTCTCGTCCTGCTTCAGCTTCGGAAGCCATAGCTCTTTGGAGTTGTACTGGTAGCCGGACGTCCTTGACTTCTACCTTTTGTACTTTAATTCCCCATTCGTCTGTAGCGGTGTCAATTAATTCTTGCATTTCGTGAGCTATTTGGTCTTTCTCAGAAAGAATTTCAGACATTGTCTTAGTGCCCAAGATGTTTCTGAGGGTTGTTTGGCCGGACAGCATGGTTGCTGCATCTGCATCTTCAACTTTTGTCACTTGCCATGTCGCGTTGAATACTTTATAGAAAACCACTGCGTCGACTGATACAGTAACCCCATCCCTTGTTAAAATTTCTTGCGGTGGTACATCGAACGACTTTACTCTCATGTCTACAATTTTAACCTCGTCAACGCAAGGTAAAAGAAACATCACCCCAGGCCCTTTTGCAGGACCTCGTACAAGCCGCCCAAGTCGAAACGCTACTGCTCTTTCATATTCGTTGACGATTTTAATCACACCCCATATCGTTAGGGGGAAAGTTAGAATGATGAATAGAACGCAGAATACGTTAAGACATATCTGCGTAACAGCACTTTCCTCTTCATAGTCCTCTTCAACCTCAATCTGATGCTGAGACATTTTGCAAAAGTATAAAACTACTTAATAAGCTAACAGCTGCGCTTTCAGGCCTAAGCCTCGAGAGACGACTTCCGATTTGACAGAATATTAGTAGAGCGAGCCTACACACCTATCTCACAAAGCGAGTGGTTATCGATGCGGAACAGACTGGTATTACGTTACTCTGCGCATAAAAGATATTTTATTTGCCTTGTTAAAGTTGCTTAGATACCCTCACATGATGTTTGCTCTACATTGGGACGTACGTATGCGTACCAAGTATGGTGAGGGCATGGCCGTTCATATAAACCCTTGTCGAGTTTGTATGCCTTTTAGCAACGTTTTTGGTACTCCCGAAGTATGTGAACCAAGATGGCGGACACTGGAACGTATACTACGTATACGTTAGCGTTAGGCCATAATTTTATTCCAATTTTTCTTATTTTAGTTCTATTACGAGTTCGGGGACTAGCCAAGTGACTCCCGCAGTATGTGTACCTGAAATCATGGCCTCCGGTGTCCGCCATCTTGGTTTACATACTTCGGGAGGACCACTTTTTGCCATCGTTTTCTATACAATGTTAAAGTGCAATCGATGGGTATAATTGGCATGTATGTTAAAATGAAATATTATATGTAATGCCGCAAGAGCTATGGCAAAGTTTTCTATTCCTGAATATTTTAATACCAAATCTAGGATAAAATATATTTTTTACCTTTCTAGGATCGATAATGCTTGGCCGTATTAGTTTTGCATACTTCCGTGCGAATAATTCCTAATAATGCCTTGCGAATAACGGCCTATTTTGCTTACATCACCGAGATCCTGACATCACTACGACAAATAATCAATTTTTTTGTAATATTAGACGGATAGATATATATGATATAATTCTGCATAGTCGATAAGATCAGTAAGAGAAAAAAAGAAAAGTAATAATAAATAAATAATAAATCCTACTTTAACACACAAAAATATACTATTTGATAGTTTTCATATCTGGAAAAGTGGTTTACAACCGGGATTTCGCCAGTACAGTCTAGAAGTTACGCAAGTTGGAATCCATTGGAATCCGAGATATATAACAATATAAGTATATTGTTTAGTTAAATATAATTAAATGCCTATAAGGTTTTCTACTATTATTAGACTTGCTACACTTTGAAGATCATTTTGTTTTATCAGTGTTAGGTTTGCTTTTATATATATATATATATATATATATATATATATTTATAGTTAATTCAATTCAGACAATAAAAGGCAATTAAACTATTGCACAAGGGGTTCCTGGTCGTCTGGAATGTTGCATTCATTTTCCGTTTCACCAAAAAGGTTGAAAGGGAATGAAAGAGATAGATCTATGTTTTGATGAATCATGGCAATTTGGTCATTTGCGACTTCCCTTGTCATTGATGCTTTGAGCATACTGATATAGTTAAAACGGTACCATACTGTTATATCCCCACAAATAAATTTGTTGGTTTTCTTTTCTCTTTTTATCTCTGGTTAAGTTAGGTTATTGCTCTACCTCATTGCTTAGTTTTACGCAAGATAAAAATATGGTGATATTGATGGTGGGGTAATAACACGATAGTAACAAAAAATTAAGGCCAGGGTGTCCATAAAGTCCCTTTACAATTTCAATTTTGCTATGAAGTCAGTTCTCAATATATCTTAACTATGTTTGTTGTTTTTTATTTAGTAATTGTTCAAGTATTCTTACTCCATTTAATACATCTGTGACGGTCAAAACAATATATGGCGTCGATAAATTCCCTTTGAAATTTTTTAAGACTTTATGGACATCCTATATAAATTGTAGTAAAGGATTGACAAAATTACAGCTAATTTGTTATCTTTTTATGAAAACATTGAAATAATACAGAATTTAATGGGGCATAATATTATGGAAAAAGTGGAAGTATCCAGTTATGGTCCCACCATTGAATTTCCGATCTGTTTTCTTAGCTCCCATTTATATTTGTTAACGTTAGAACAACTGAATTAAGTCAGGATATAACCTTCGAGCTTATCCTAATATTATATAACATATCAGGAAATTAGTGCTGGGAGAATTGCAAGATGGAAACCGAAATTAAAGTTATAATCGTGATATACATTACAGGAAGAGATTGAAAAATTACAGCAAAAAATACAAAAAAAAAAATTGACTATATTCAAATATTGCTTCACCACTAATTTTCTGATTTATTTTCTTAGATTCTATTTATCGTCAGTAACGTAACGATAAGTTCGGTTAGGTTATATTCTTACGTCAAAAACTTAAGCAGGATAGTAACCGAAATTGAGGTTATAAAACGTTATCATCGTGATATACTTTACAGAAAAAGATTGAAAAATGACAGAAAAACATTCAAATACAGAAAAATTGTTATATTATTACCCTACTACTATTTTTTTGTGTGTATTTTATTTTTTTGATCTTATGTTAAGTTAGTCGGGGGTGGGCAAATTACGGTTTTTATGAATATAAATTTTCGTTGAAAATATTGATGAAAATAACGTCATAGCGACCCCGATTGTTACATTGTGCTTTTTATTATTATATAAACGTTAGCCTAGTTGTTGTTAATAAACTGTTTTTTGATTCATAGTTTTTTATATTACGTTTTGAGACTCCGGTCCAGTAACCAAATTCATATTCTGTAACTAGCCAACTCAGTGAGGTAATTGCCCACCACTGAGCTAGGTTATCATTACCCAGCGTTCCTAACCTTACATGAGATAAACAGAATTAGAGAAAACCGGTAGAAACTGAGTGTTGTGGAAATAGCAAAATAATACAAGAATTTAAATGGATTGAACGGTACTGCTGAAGTATGCGCAGCAAGACGTCACATAACCTGAACCCTAACCTGGTACACAACCTGAGTTCAGGTTGTGCGCCATCTTGGTGCGCATACTTCAGGAGGTCCGATTAAACTTTATTGGTCACGATACACATGCAAAATTGACACTCACAACTGTTTTTTAAAGTCTAATTTACAATTCAGGGATTCTCTAAGGTTAGCTATATGGATCAGAGCAGTGAGAAGTAATAACTGTTAAATTAAATTTTTACAGTAAAATAAAATTCTCCATACAACAAATATTGACTGAAACAGGAAAATATATATAGTATAATAATAGTATAAGAAGAAGTGAATGGATGATATAGAATAATATTTTTTAAAATACATAATACCACTTTAAACTAGAACTTCTCAACTTGTAATGATATAATGAATAAATGTAATTAATATACTGCGAAGATATTTCCCCAAATTACCATCTAAAAACATGGTTACATGCGGTCTCGAAGATTTTCCAGCTTAAAATGATATAATAAATAACAAACATAGTTATAAGCGTCCTCTAGGAGGCTCTCGCGGACATGATAATGAAAGCCAGAACGCACGCTTGATATTTTAGTTGTATTTTTTGAATGCCGTAATGTAAAATAACACAAACATTGAGTCGTCATCTTTGTCAGTGCGCCTGTTCTACAGTATTGATGATTGGGAATAAAGTTTTGATTAAAGTGTATGTTTTCAGGCTGGAAGCAGGACCACAAAGCTCGGACCGCAAGCAGTGGTGGGATTCAGGGCGTTCGCGTAAATTTTGAATGTCGGGATAATCAGCAACCCCGATCTTGTGTTTTTGTTTTGACGTTGTACAACCGCAACAAATAAGTTACGTGCACCTCAGCTGACATCTGATATATATATTCGACTTCTAAAAAATTAGGTATTAGATTTACATAAAGCATGTAATCACGAAGTGGCATACATATGTTTCGGAATGAGGAAACCTGCTGTTAGTGAGTTCTATACAAAAGGGGAACCCGTTTCTAAAAACCACCACTGCTTCGATTAAAATCGTTTTTATTTTTTGTGGATTGATAATAAGTTGATATTAAGTTCAGACTAATTGCGATACAACAAGTTTAAAAGTTGGAATACAAATCAAATGATCTCAGATACTCGACGATTGCTTGATAGCAGAACTTGTATTGATCCTGAAATATAAATACCATTTTAATAATTGGAATATAAAAAAATCTGATAATATCCAGGGTTCGGACTAGCAAACAGACCTAAGTAGATGTTGAATTTATTGATTTCGAATACATACAAAATACTGGAATAGGAAAAAACGTAACATACGTATGACGTATGCAAGCACGTGGTATTCATTATCACGAATTGAAATTTCGTCTTCCAGTACGAATATTATCGAGATCGGCTCAGTATAGTGCCATTAATTATTCTTCATATATATGTAAAGCTTGATTCAGATATACCAGTTGCAGGTCTTATGATCAGAGCATTCCGATCCGAGAAATATGTTGGCAACTCCACAATTAACGTGTATATAACAAAAGTGAAATAGCTGCGTATTTGTTATAAATTAGTTTCACAATATGTATTCTCATTCTTACTAAATTTTCCACCATATTTGGTCTTCCATCTCTGAGATCTTTCACAGTTCTGAAAACATCAACTCGATTCTCACATTTCAATCGATCTATCAGATTCACCGTTGCACAGAATACACCAGTCCTGCCGATCCCGTCACTGAAACACACAAAATAACTTGTTGAATTTTTGGTTAGAGAATTTAATAACTTATTCTTAAATAGACTTTATTTATGTAAAGGCAATTTTTAACTTTAACTCAGAAAGCGGTTTTAGATGACCCAGTTGAAATACTGGATTTCATATGCCTTCTCACGAAAGTATTGCACTGTTTCCAAGGTCGGGGTCCACGGACCTCCAAAGGAGCCTATGAGCATGCTTAAGATGAAAACGAAATAGCCAAGTGCTATTGTGGTCAAAAAATTTATCAATTTCATCAAAAATCAAAACGAAATACTATAAAATGAATTTGGTTTGTTAGCTAAAATGTCGCTGTTTATGACGAACAACTGTCATTATATTTGCCTCTGTTTCCTTGTTTTCAGCGTTTATTTTCAAATGTTTTTAAAAGTGTTCCTATTGCATTTTGTATGCTTTTAGACTTAAAGTTTGTCGATTCACCTTTTTTACGCCTCGACCCGGAATGAGCAGCCGCTGATACACAAGGAGCTGCTATTTTTGCAGACCAGAATCTTTCCGCTTCGGCCATACATACCCAATTCATTACATCTTGGATGAGAGATGGGCACCGGGAGATATATAAGCTACTGCGCCAGGAATTCCACGACTTTCGATTCATGTATAAAACTAGATAGCGATCGGAGACCGCCGACTTATTGATCTGCGGTTTCGATTCCTCTGATCAAGACTCAATAGCGACACCGCGTGTCCCATCACTAATTAATCAATAACTCGCTTCCAAAATCAATAGGCTTCTGGTCCAAGATATGATGAATGTACATCAAAATGAAAATGCATCAAATGCAAAATTTGGAACAGATTCAACTTCGCTTTCGTGAGATATCGCGTAACATACGAAAGTGTCTAACAGACAAACAAACAAACAGACAAATACCTATCAACATATTTAACCGAGCGAGACCGATAAGTAATGAGGTTTATGCCAATAGAAGGTTGGGAACCATTATATATTAGTGCAAATGCCGACATATTTTGATTGTCGATACTAACTTGTTTAGGGATGACAAAGCTGTTGCAGAACTACCATTCCGGTAAAATGAAGTGCGAATATTTTTAACAAATGGCCTCACACCTGCAATGAACGAGAGTAACTCCATTCCCAGCTGATCGAATGTTTTTCTGCATCTTATTAACAAGATCAATTATTTCTCTTCCATCTTCAGGGCAACTTGTTGATTTCCATACCGTGTAATGAAACTGAGTCACAGTTTTCTAAAAAATGACAATATTTCTCGAAGTTGTTAGAATTTCTTAATCTAATTGCAGTATTCGATTTAATACCTCACGAAATGATGTAGCGAGCGAAATGATGTAGTGAGAATAGTGATGTAGATAGACTGACGTCATCATCTGCTAGTTTTCACAACTTCGCCTCAAACGAGCCTATATACAAGCGAGCAGGGGATATGCGAGGGGATGTAGTTTTATATTTAAGAAACTCCAGAGTTTTCCGGTTCGGGATTTCGTAACCAGTTTATTGCACCCTGAGGCATGGTGGTTGAAACCTTACAACCTGCTGACCTGCGATCAGCGGGGATAAAAATTTCATGATGAAATTCCAGTGTGTTTGTGTGTTAACTTCTAGAGGGAAATAGCGTAAACTATTAGCGATAATCATTGCGACCCCACTGTCGTCCCTGTATCATTTGTCAATAAATTCAAAGTAGAGTCATACCAATGACTCACCGATTGAGGTCCCCTGTCCACCCGAAGTTTTCTTTCTGTTATGAAACCGTCTGCCTGGTCACCAACTCTAGTTACAGATAAGTCCTCCCATTTCATAACCTCGCCAACATTTGCAGGCCAATACTGAGCACATTGTTCCTGGAATTATATCAGAAATTAGCTCATACAGATTATTCATATGAACGTCAGTCAAAAAGAAAAAATTAATAAGTAAAGTTGAGTTTAAATTTAGCATTCAAGCAAAGATATTTAGATTTATTGTCGCTCCGATGCGCTATGCACAGCCAGTAGCTGTATACTAGTATAAAATTATAGTATTATTAGTTCGCTTATTATTAAATTCAGGGCTGTTTTATTATTGATTTGATCACGAAATTCTTTGTATGTTTTTTGCTTTAATTCGTGACTTTGCGAGTCACCGAAAAAACATGGTGGATCACTTTGTGACCCGACTCGCGGGTCAGTGGTTCACCATCCCTGTTGTGTATAGACGATTGTTCTAAGTTCAAAGGACGTGGTGAAAACACAGTATATACTATGTAGCAAATGGCTTATATATTGCTAGTCCTTTGCCAAGACAAAATTAAAAACGAACTTCTTTTCCTTCTTTGAGTTTTGTCAACATAACGATTGTATTAACGTTGTTATCTAGAACCGATCTCCAGAATAAATCAATGTTTGACGAAGTTGGACCTTGAGATGCGATCATTGGACTTGACTCGTCATAACTCTGCAAAAAAGTTATGCAATTAGATAACACAAAATACTGTATATATACATTATATACTTTTCATTCAAGTAGTTTTCGTTTGGAACCAAATAAGACTTCGTGCAATAAAGTGAATTTCAATAAGTTTGGATTCCTCCAGAATTGTATTTACTATGAGACAACAGAAGTAAAGAAAAATAGTAGCAACAGAAGCACCCCAAAAACTCCCCAAGTTCGTTTCGGTTAAGTATAAATTTCAATTTTCTTTTGTGAAATGACAAGATTAAAACTTGTTTGTGGATGAACTGACTGCTCAGTGTCAAAATATCATGTTTCGCAATATTGTCCAATTTTACAAGTTAAGCTTTGTATCATACCTCTACCCATGAAGCATTCATATAAGGATTCTCATCTTCATCTTGTTGCATAAATATGCTTACCAGTGTGTAATCATCTAAAGACAATTAGGGGTTAAAAAAAGTGTTATTATTCTTGTACCTTGCCGTGTATTAGATTTAATTAAATAGGATTAAAATAGATGTGTCGAATGAATGTTTTGGTGTGGATATTTGTATAATTATGGCAGTCGAATGGTCGATAATAAATTGACTTTTTCAGTTTTTAAACAGAAGAGTATCTTCTACGTTTACGCAACCTACATGGTACAGACTTCTTTGATCTGTTCATCTTCTCATTTTTTCCTTGGAGCCCGCGAAGTTTTGAGTCCTTCATTGGTCCAATTCGGTTTAAATCTTCAAATTCTTTCTTCAATGAAGCTTCGCCATCAGGAGTCCTGAAATATGAATTTATTTGACACTCGAAATTGTGATTATTGGAGCATGTTCTTTTTTGGATTTAGATAAAAAGGGACAAAAAAATACAGTGATCTGTGCTACTGGGAGTATCATATTTCCAGTGGGCGTGGCGTAACAATTTTTTCATATGTCTTCCGGCACTCTCACTTGACTACGTCATTCAAAAATTACGTTATTGCAACCCTGGTAATGTACAGATTGGCTGGGCATTAAAAAAACAACAACGAAACTGAAGCATGCCTCACCAATACGTATGTACGTGCAAACATGTGTAGGTAAACCGTAAAGCCTTAGTGGAGAATCATTGACCATGACCGATTATATGAAAAAGGATTTTCCATACTTTATCTTTTGCAATTTAGCTTTTGCTTCATCAGAAGATAAATCTCTGTCTTCAAACAAGATGGCTTCCAGAACGAGCTTGTGAACGAGAACGTATTGATCCTAAATAAATAATAAGATTATTGAACACGAAATGGATCTATAAATCGTTTCGTAATTGTGCTGTTATTGTGAAAAATCTCTTTTCTCTTTAACTACTAGACCAATTCCTTTTGGTTATTTAAGATTGTTGCAGGAACGTTATTAGTTTTATTTATTTCGAAAAGAATCTGTGGTTCTTTGGGATTCGTTTTTCACTTCCAAGTTTTGTGTGATGACGTCATCAAAATTAAAAAATGTGCAACGTGCCATGGTTCCGTGATCACATCTCAGTGACCTGGTGGTCAGAATACCAGTACTGTAAAAGACTTGACACTACGTAGTTTTGACTTACGTGTCCATATATTTTAGCTTTGCTCTCTCGTTGAACATTTGATTCATTTCAGGGCGCAGTTGTTGAATAATAAATATCAAGCTATTAAATAGATCAGTTGGACATAAATAAAGATATAGCTCACAGAATTTTGCACCATTTCCACTCTTTGTTTTCTCATGTTGAGAACGCAAGCAAAGGCATCAACGGATCTTGTAGACTTGCTTTCATCAAGCAGGATATCAAAACCAATCAATGTCCCTGTTCGTCCTGCACCAGCGCTAGAGAGACAAGAAAACGCGAGTATTAAAATATTTTGCAATGATTTTTTGTCGTACATCGTACGTTTTCGATAGATCCCATCTATATCTGATTACATATCAATCCATATGCCAAAGTAGAAATTTAAAGACCTGATATTTATGTAACTCCCACGTACTACCCACGGACGATTTAATAGAACAATGTCGAATAGAAAGAGTTGATATATTGTAGGATTATGTTGGTGTTCTTTGCGGACAAGCACATTTTGGGGCCCATCTGCCTTTTCCCTATCAATACTAACGCAGACGGAGCACACCACCAAATATTATTTATCTTCATGTAAGTTACACAAACCGATAACTCTAACCCTACATAAAAGCGATCCCAATGTCTGACTTTAACATGATCTTAGGAGGTTCGACAGAGTTATTTCAGAGTAAATGTGGTTTGTGCATATTTTTAAAAACTGATAGAAATGATTTTTGATGAACCAAAGAATGTACCTGCAATGCACTACAATTGGAGAACCTTTTCCGATTTTCTCATAACTTTTTATCACAGCCCGATGCATTCGTAATAAATCTGAAGTGGTTGCCGGTGCACCATGGTCAGGCCATTTCAAGAATTGATACTGGTGTACATTGGTTGTGACATCATGACCCTGAAATAAAGCATTCGATAATGAATGTATAGATCAGCGACCTATGTATAATTTCTTTGAAGTCGTGGCCATACGCCAACGCGGGTCATGCTCCAGTCAAATTGCGGTTAAGATAATAATTCTACTTCCTCAACGTGACGTCACATCAGTGCTTAGAGGACAGTACATTGTGCGATTAAAATAATTTTAACCTTAAGAAGCAGCAGGTTGAATAATTCCTAAAGACCGGTTGTGAGATCTTTCATAAAAATTGAAGAAACAGTGCTTATATACCCATGTCAACTTCATATTATCGATTATTGCGCTCAATTATGATATACGGTTACGGATATTATATAAATTGTGTCGTGAAAGTAATACTTTACACTAAACTTATGAATATGCAAAGCACTTTTCTCTTCATATGCCTTTCTCGTATTTTTATTAAATATTTCGACAAAATTGCCTTTGTTGTGAATTTCATCGATAATTTTTATGTCTCATTCTCAAAATGTGTTTACCGTCATGCCCTATTACATAACATATATATGCAGTAACTTTTTACACTGAACCAGTAACAGCGTTATAGGTGTCGCTACTTGAAAACCTCATGAGGTCCCTCGCGACTCCTGTCACACAAATAGCTATAATAATATATTTATTTTGTATCGACTCTGGTACACATGCTTTTGTGATACCAAATACGCGATTGACTGACTGACTGGCGCGCCTTTTTCTTACCTTATTACGAGACTTCACAGTAAAACTTCGCTTTATAAACGAGCCGTAGTTGACTTCATGTACATTTTCCACTAGCACGGAACCAAACTTCTGGTTTTTGTTCTCATCGGGCCAATATTTTTCACATTTTTTCTACAAATAGAATTTAATTGTGTTCAATATATTTTTCTTGCGTCAAGCATTTTTGTAATGCTCTATCGCAGGGTCGGCCAACCTTTTTGGCCGACGGGCAACATTTTGTTCACTAATAATTGCGCGGGCCACTTAACATGGTTGTTATGTTCTAGTTTTGCTACACTGACTCAAAGTTAATGAAAAAACAAACAAAACCCTCGCACCAAACTTTCTCAATAATAACAACAATAGAAAAACGAAGATACAGTAAAGTCAACAAAGTTTTTTCTACACGTAGATATTTTAGTGTGAAGTTTGGCACTGTTTTTCGCTAACAAGTTTGTCAATATTCGCTGAAATGGACGATGTAGCAATGCGAAGCGAATTTTCCATATGACTGTCAGAAATTAGTGATCTCGCAGGGGATTTGACATGGTTCATCTGTGAAAAAACTTGCTTGTACAAGTAAGTGTTGCCAAATAATGAGGTCATTAAAAGTGTCATTCTGCCCAAGTGTATAAGCGACTATTAATGTATCGATATCTTCCAGTTGGTTTCGATTTCAAATGTCAATCATGACTCGTTTGAAAGGGCTAGCAGAGCGCATTTCAGGAAAATGAACAAATTGTTTGTATCAAAACTTTATATTAATTAAATCACGCAAAAAATAGAAGATTTACTCAATTTTTTTTATTTAATTTCGAAAATACAGCGCGGGCCACTCAAAACTCCTCGGCGGGCCACATGTGGCCCGCGGGCCACGGGTTGGGCGACTCTGCTCTATCGTATCTATATGTTGCATAATTCTATGGATAATTGAATTGTTTTAGGATATTTGGGAATTACAATGCCTAAATTTTATTTCTGAATAACACACTGGTGAACAGTTTAGGTTTGACATATTATCCATTACCAACTTTGGCATGGAATCTTTTGTCATAGAATCTTGATATAGAAGTCTTTTGTCAGAATTTTAGTTCAGAAATACAGTTGTCAAATTACCAAATTACCTTCTCAGCCTCTCTTTCCTTTGTCAACATCACGATCAAATAGCATTTATGTTCGATTATCATCTGCCAAAAATCATCGACAGTCGTTGCAAGAGGTCCCTGAGTTGCAATGTATTTACGTCGCTTGTTGTGACCCTTTAGAATGAAATTGAACATCCAATTGAAAGGTCAGATTCAAATATTTTTTCGATGAGAATTTTCTTTCATTTTCAGTAACGATTAACTGATTTCACGTCTTGTAGAATAAGAAATGATACGAAATGACGCAAAAGTCGACAATATAATTTCCGAGATATAACCTAATGTCAGTATGATTTATTTGATACATAATTTAACTTGATGTGTTTCAACGCATATATATTAGTTTAACAAGTATAGTATCAATATATTTTTGGTTGTTCCATCATACATTAACATCTGGCATATCCATTTTCCCCTTAGCAGTGATACGATTGTTTTTTGAAAGTATATTAAAGGCTTATTCCGCGTAGGTAAGGTAATGAATCATAGCGGTTTGTTTTATACTTACATCAATATAACAGGCGTTGATATAACCCGAACCTTCGGGTGAAATTTTCACTCTAGTTTCATCAACTGAAAAAGGGGAAATTCACAACTGAGTCATTGAAAGTCATCACAATCATTGGAATCTCGTTAAGATGTCAAAACTATGACGCTGAGGTTTTTTATTCTTTAACCCCGACCACTCAAAATTTCTTATTGTAGTTTTACTACAATATACTTTATTACTGAATGAGAAGCATACATGCCGGAAATTCGATCAAATTTTAATGAACCTTTGTATCTCAATTTTGTTATTCTTAACCTTTATATGACCATCGGGTCGACGTCGTCTAGGTTTGACTTATAGAATCGTTATTACAAGGCGTGAAGGTTATTGAGATTTTGACGTTAGGGTCAAATTGCACAAAGTTTCACTTTCACCAATACCACGCATCAGTTTGCCGAAATATTATTTACCGGAAGATTTAAATAGGCAGAGTGTCTGTATTCATAATAATATGACAAAATACTATTGGGTAATAAAAGTTTCTCCAAACAACTCACATGGAAGAATATTCTTGTATCTGTTCTTTTTCTTCAATTCAGGATTAGAAGCAAACTTTTTTGGCCCTCCCAGTTTGGCAGCTTCCGAAAGAATTTTCTGAAACGCAAATCAAAATGCTAACAATTTTAATACACAGGGAGGAAAAGTATACTAATCTCAGCTACCTATAGTAACCATTTTGGTATAGTAGACCGTTTTTATGATGTTTCTCTACTGAATTGTATACAGAACTGCCCAATAGTTAAGTAGCCAAGCAATAAGCTATTGTTGCTCACTAAATATTGTATTTCATATCATTTTAATAATAGACATAAAAATAACAAGAAAAAGCTATAATGCCAAACGGAAATTTTGACGCCAAACGTGTTTTAAAAAAAACAAAATTGTTAAATTTTGCGTTACTAAAGCCAATAAGGCAATCCTGCCCACGGCCTAATAGACTATTAGGTAGTTATCCAAATAACTCATTATTACATTCATATTGCATTGTTACGTCATATTCAGATTTTTTGAAGTTATTCTTCCTTACATGGACGTGCTACCGGTACGGGTATCGTGATACTTGTTCGGTTTGTCTTTCATTTTCGTATATTACGCTGTTTTGGACACAGGTAGATTTATTGAATTGATTCTAATTTAGTTTTATAAAACGTTTGCTTGTATTAATCAAGATTCGGAAGGTTTTAACTATTAAACTTTAAATCGCAACAGTGCTGTCGACCTGCTCCGTCGATAAAAGAATAAAAAGTAACTTTTGATATAGTATGAGATACTGGACTTGGGCTAGACTACTGTGACTGGGTGTTGGAATGCGGGAGAAATTACTACCAAAAAACAGGTACGTTATATCTTTAAAATCTTCTTGAAGTTTAGTTAGTCTAAAAAAGCATTTTTTGTTCATTTTTGTTGAAAATAACGTCGCCATCATTTAGTGTAAATATATATCTTATATTCAAAAAATAAATTACAAAAACCTGAAATTGATCGAAAAAATGTGAGTTTTCTTTTTTTCTCATCGAATTGTAAACTTCTTCCAAATCAGAAATATTGATAGAGGTATCGGAGGATTTTGGATGAACGTTTACTGATACATTGGCGTAGGGACCTAAATCTGTAAATAATTGTTGAACTGTGATTACAAATATTTTTATTTATCTGATCTATGCTGGGTAATGTGGCTCAGCCATGGTAAATAACCATAGCCACATATTACTGATGCTGAATTCAAATCAGGGGTCATATTTGTTAGGCTTGGGAAATAGTGTAGAATGTAGACTACTATGATCAGTTATATCCGTAGTAGTATATATTTACGGTTATATAAATATTTACTGTATTCTGATATTTTGAGATATTAGTAATTGTTAACTCACCTTTCTCTGCATTTACTTGCGTCTTTGGTGCGATCGGTGTGTTCACTTTAGTTTGTATAATTGAACTTGATTTTCTGTGAAATGGCAAATACATCAGGCTAAAATATTTAAGTTACAATTTCCTAAAATTGATTTAGTACGCATGGAATCTTGGGTGAAAATGGTAAGATGGAAATTTAACTTTGTATGAGCCGCTTGGAGGTAAAAATTCAATCAAAAACCTACTGGGTGGATGTGACACCTTTTTCTGTCTCAGTGAAGGCCATTTTCGTATAACCATCACTTGCTTCTTCATTTTGAAATTTCCTATTGCAAAATAAAAAACGCGTGACCGTCAGTGGAAGAAAAGCGGAAGTTGCATTGTTCCGAAAAAATGAAAAATTGAAAACACTAAAAGTCTGAACTTAAAAACTGATAGGTGGGTAAAATTTCTTTTGCAGAGAAGCGGGGTGTTTAAAGTCAGTGAGGGGCTAAACCCTAATAAAGTGAATGAAATTGCATTTGTAGGGGGGTGGGGACGTTGGAGTTGCTAGAAAATTGAAATCGAAAATGAAAATGGGAGAAATTCCCTCTGGCGTAAAGTTGGGTCGTTGAAATCACCAAAGTCTGAACCGTAAAACAAAGAAGTAAATGACATTTTTATGTAGATAAGTGGGGTATAGCTAAGGTTGCTAAATGGCCGAGTCCGATTTATAAACTTCATCTTTCTAGTGTTGTCTGTTATTATTTTGCCAAACGATGTCGCCTTTGTAAAATCAAAACAAAACCTTACGAGGTTGATGGAGAATTTTCGTTTGTTGCAGTAAAACCCACTTCAGCATAACCGCCAGTTGTTGCTTCTTCATTTTGAAATTTCCTACAGCAAAATAATAGATGTATACTTGCTTATTCACGCACATTAATTTACAAGGTAATATATATTTTTTTCTTCCATCAACAAAATTGATATTAAAATGATTTTGAGTAATAACAAGTAAGTGATTACCGTACCTACTGCGTGTTATCGGTATCATATAAACTTTGACTTCCGCGTAGCACGAGTTCGCAAAATCAAAACGGAAGACAGCGTGACGCTTAGCGGATTAAAAACCGTGTTCCCATGTATAAAAAATAATACAGCGAAATATTGAAGAAAATATCAGATCTCATAGGATTTATTGAAGATTCAGGGATAAATAAAAGTGTTCCAGTAGCGAAAAGCGAATTTTTCCTCACAAGAAGAAGAGGGACAACATAATAACAACAATACGATCCAAAGGTCCACGTCGTGTCCTATAAATAATCAGCGATATGAGAAGTTTTACAATACTCACGAAGCTGAGTCCGCGTTATCCGGTATTGTTGGGATAACTTCGTTCATTGAATCGATTTCGCTTGTGCCACTTTTCGCTTTACTAGAATAACAGTATGGAATTGATAGTATAGCAATTTAAGATTAAGTTAGATCTTTTTTTACCTTTTAAATTTTAAACTGTTGAATACGCAAATATGCAAATAATTATCTTTATGCTTTGGAAAATATTCTATAATAATGGCAAATATTATTTCTATATAAGTGGTTTCTTAACAATATTCTGAAACAACTTCAGACAAGCATTTTTATCAACTTCTGAATACTTTTTAGTAAGTTCATATTGTAAATAAGAACTCACCGTCGATTTATTACTACAACTATAATCAGCACAGCTATCAACAAGCAAGCTCCGGCTACAATTACTACAATTATCCAAGATTGAAATCCATTTGTTTTGCCTGAAGTACAACGAAACACGTGTTAGATTTTCAAGGACGACTCGTATAACCTTATTCCGCGAAATCTTACTCCTTAGCAAAGTGTCGCAACGCGTTTCATCTTGTTATTTCAATTATTGACCTATAGTAGTTCTAAAATGTGTTTTTATAATTACAATTTGTTTGAATCAACAGAAAATCAAATTTAATTTTGCTGTTTTACTGGAATTTTGCAAAATTTCATTTCATCTTGTATGTTTGATGTTCATGTACTAATTCCAACTTTCAACCAGTCTACCGTAACTTAGATAAATTTGTAGATAAAATTTGGTTTCCGAATGCCGAGAAAAAACCAACTCACTTAATTGGGTTGGTGGACTCGTTTTTATGCAAATTTTATTTCCACAAGGCGTTGTTGCAACGATGAACACACTGTAGAAAAAGGGAAACGTTATGTGAAAAGCAATAAAAACTATTTAGATTTTGTACATCCTGGTCACTTCTTCATTGTCGAACATTCTTCACGCAAAATTGATATTTCTGGAATCTTGTGTTATTCATTTGAAACTACCATACCTGTAAGATTTTTCTTTGTCAAGCTTACGATTTTGTCCTACGAATTTTGTATTCTTTTCGACATTTCTCCGTCGTCTTCTTTTCTTGGACACAGAATCGATTATTTGAGTGACGTTACAAGAAGAATTCGAACCATCACCAAGCTTGTTAACTTGTTTATCGCCAGTAAATCTGCGATGTGGGTCAATATTGGACGGTGAAAGAAGAATAACTATCCGTTTTATAGCGCGAGGCAAGGATATGATAATTGTGTATGTTATAGATATAATTCTGGGATCGACGCAACACCGTGAAAGCAGTTTCATTTTAACAAAAGAAAAAATCGACTATGAGCGAGAGTAGTTCAAGAATGGAAGAGTATAGTAAGCAAGTCAAACCATTCTGTTTGAAATATATCTTATGGGTCTAAATATTTCATAATATATTTTTTTAAACACTCCAATTTGTAAACCATAACAAAATTTCAATTAAAACTCACTGCCCATGGTTAGCTAGAACATTTATGCAGGCAACTTCCGTAACATAAATTTTTTATGAGGTTCTGTAGTTGCCTGAAAGTTATAATCTATTACGTCGTACTTGTAAACTGGAAGCGCTACTGCGATGTATTGAGTGGTTGAGCTCTGCGCCATGTTCAAATTCTCCATGCTAAAATTGATATTCCGTTCCGATGATCCATCTTTTACAATGATGAATAAACAGCTAAATGTAATGAAAATATTTACAAAATAAACAAGGAAGCAATGCAATAATATACTGACAGGAAGGTCAAATGATTAATATTATCACTGCAACGCCAGTAAAATTCCAGCCAAATGTTAAAATATTTTACTCCATGCCATTCAAGTTGTCTTTTCAAATTAATAAAAAAGGCATCGAAATTTGGGGTGAACTATGCGTAGCCCATAATATACCGGTATTTGTAATGGCTTGGCCCATTAGTTGTGGCAAAAACCGACTTCGTGTGCAGTAATGAGTTGATGCTACTAACTTGAAATATACAGAGAATGCGCAAGATTTGTTGATTTTGACAGCGTCGTTTAAAGTGCCATGAATAGCGTGTCGGAATGAATTGGAGCTATATTCATTTGTACTAATTTATTTGTATAGTGTCATGTAGTAGTTGTATTCTTGCAATACAAACCTCAGTAAACCGTTGCTTTCATCAGGTTTAGTCACGGTTACTTCGCGCATCCCGTTACTATCGATGGCGTCATCAGAAACCACAGGTTTCGCAATTTCATTCGGAGCTGTTGATAAAAAAAAACGTAAATTTTTCACAAAATTAGTTTATATATATATATATATCTATGTGTACGGTTCAAATATCATAAACAAATATAAATACGCTGCTACAAAATAGTTTAGTTTTGACATGGACGGTGCATATGATTTTCGACTGTTTCGCGATTCTTGAGTCATCAAAATAGAAAAAAAAAAAGATCAAAATCTATGTAGACACAATATTGGCAGATCTACACAAAATGGTACACGAACATACTTTTATTTCAACGAGAATTTTGATGCATTTGTGGAGATCTGGCCATTGGTGACGTTTACGCAAGTCAGCTTCAAAACCAGATTTGTGTATTTTTTCGTAATGATAATGAATAATAATACAATAGTCATACGCAAAACCTGGTATTATCATGACTATAATTCTGAATGTTTTCTTTGTACAAAAGAACATATACGAGTGTGAGTTATCCCACGGCGGTTTGTAAGAAAAAATATTATCTGAACCTTCGAACCGACAATAAACTGCGGCGTAATATCATTGATCTTTTATATTGAAATAATAAAGATCGATAGTCGCGTAAAATCACCATTACCAGATACACAGTGATTCATAGCTCGAGTACATATGGTTTGAATTCGTCGCAAAACTTCTATAAATTAAATATTTCACTCCCCGAGATAGGTCAAGTTTCATGAATATTTGGCATTAAATTTGATCCATTACAAGGTAAGGGTAGTGTGTACCCATAGTGTATTCGTTTATGATTTGATTATTAGTATTTGCATTGAAGCGTAAGTATAATTTTTGAATGAGTTTTCGCTACCTGTGTCTGAAATTTTCCCCTATCAGTTCATGATTTGATTACTTTTAACTGCATTCATACGTAAGTATAATTTTTGAGTGAGTTACTCCTATTTGTTTCGGAAATATTGCGTACGATTGATAAGCTATACAAAACCTGCTGCTTTTCCAACACAATATCCAGTTGCATTCACTGCCTCGCTCAATCCGGCACATCCAATAACTTGTATTGATACTGTGCAGTTTCTGTTTGGCACCGGAGTAAATGTTTGCGGCATTGATATGTTGAATGAGTTTATATGGGGAGACTTTACGTTCGATCTTGTTGCAATGATCAGGCAGTATTTTGTGACCTGTAAAATGGGTAGATAATTAACCAAAATATTCCGAGTATCAGTAACAGCTAAAACTTTATTGGTTAAGTATGTAGTAGAGGTTTCCAATTAGTGAGTATGAAACTGCTGTGTTTTTGTTTTACTCGTGGCGCTAAACCAAATGCGAATATGACCTTAGTTTTTATTAGAGTTAATCTATGGCATTCAAACTTTAACTTTGATGGACGGAGAGCATAAACGTTTGTATGTTTCGCTATATCTACTTCAATATGATTTAACCTCATCCCATCTCTATAATCATAAAGTCCTGAAAAACACCACTGGCGTTTCTTTCAAGACGAGTTTATCCGGGCCATTGCATTTCTTCAAAATTATTTTAAGTGTGTTAGTAGTACTGATATACATCAGGCCAATGGGGATAGCTTTCAACAGCATTTAACACTTCTTTAATTAAATAAATTCAAAACCCAACAAGAAAGGAAACGATCTGAATAGGGATCCTGGAAAATTTTTAAATTCGGTTTATTACTACTGCGGTAACCATATATCCATTACTACAACCTTTACGTTCATTTGTCTTCAGTGAATGCACCAGAGGAGGATTCTGTAACTTCATGCATTTGAAACCAATTTCACAAAATTTGAGAAAAAAGTTGTATGGAAGAAAAAAGGAAACGAAGGTGTGTTTTCTTGACTTGATTATTGATTTGCAAATTGCGCCAAGCGTTGGAAGATAATTTCCAGCATGATAAGAGCTAAGATTGGTCGAGTGGTCAAGTTATAATCTTACTTACTTCTAAACTTGTAACATTATTTGGTTGGTTATTATGTTTCCAAATCCATTGCATAGAGCAGTTGGTCGATAGAGATGCAGATTTCACAGGTTCGGTTTTTCCATTTGTTGTTGCAGTTGCGTTGGTTGAATATGCAGAGCTGCATTTAGCGTCTGACTCGCAGACCACGATCTGAACAATTTAGTACAGGCAAGACTTATTTTAAATATGACTTCCTATGAGAACTTGCAAATTTTTAACATTTACGTGATTGGTGCGCATTTATATGTACGTATATTTGGAAAACTTGAGTTTCTTATTTTTAGACTAAAATTGTGGAAAATGCGACGTATTAAAAAACTAAAATTGGAAAAATGCGACATAATATTACGCTCCCAAAGCTAAGTCTAGTGATATGAACATTTGACCATGAATAACGTCCAGATGACCTTCCTGTTTATATATGCGCTACATCTCGATTAATGTTCGTTTCGGTGGAGAATAATGTCAGTAGCATAGCAACGACTCACCGTTATATGATATTCAGTAGTTGCCTTCAATCCTGAAATCTCACTGATCACTGACGTGTTTGTTTTGGGAATAATGAATGTTGAGAAGCATTCTTCTTTGGTATTAGAATTATTTGCTGTGATTCTGAAACGAAGCATGAATATTGGTAGCAAACCTTCGCTCGGACGATTTAGTCTCGTAATAAGTGAAGTCACTTTTTATATAGGCGTATACTTTTATTATGGTGGTGAATATTATAAATGCTCGTTTCTGGAACGTTTGTCTAGATTAGATAAAATGTAAATATTTACATTTCAAAAGATAAAAATAAAATAAAACTGTTTTTCAAAAAATATCTACTATTGCATACTTGTGTTGAAAGCCAACTGCATATTTGCTTGGATTCCAAGTAACGAACAAACTTTGGTTACAAGATGAATTTGTAATCGATGTAATTGTTGCATTTCCCTCTATTGTAAAGTAAATACAAAAAGTTTAAAGTAACCGATGTATATATATTAGTTTCCTATTTGTCCGTAGTCCATTGTGCGAATATTATTATGACCCAAATGGAACCTCACTCCGTTATGAGCCATTTTTATATAGATGACATATTTATTTTTTACATTATTGAAATTTGTAATTGAGCGTTGAGAAAAACAAGTTCAAAGTCAAATAAAATTCACCTTCGAAGTCAAAATAAACTTCAACACTTGAACTATGATCACGGCAAACGTATCTAGCTTTGTCCATAATGGTGGCATTGTCAAAGTGTAATGTAGAGAAACTTCCATCTATTATCTGATAAATTCTACTTTCCTTGGGATTTGTTTGAACTGGCTCGCTAGAAGATCCCCTATACCAGTTTACAGTGGTGTTCACGCAATTTTCAACGCGGCATATTTTTGCTTGATGTAGAGAATTGTATTGAATGCCAATTCTTGGTATTGTTGAAATTTCTAAAAAATTAATATTGAGGATTTTGGTTTAAAATTTTTAATTTGTGTTCAAACATAACACTGTCATTTTTTTTTCTACGCAAGGTGATGTTATAAAAATGTCGAAGTTATATAATATGAAATTGCACTTCTGTATCATAATTATATATTAGTAGGCTACCTACTGATGATACATCACACAGTACATCCTTTGGCACAAATAAAAAAGTCACAATCAGTGGTTCGTTGCTAAAACTAACAGAAAGTCTTCGCAATATAAGTAGATGCCAGACTATTTTTAAAAATTCGCTCAATGAAGCAACGGCTTTTTATGATGAGTAAACAATTTTAAACCAAAGCTATTGCCCAATAATATCAGCCAAGGTTTTACCAGGTAAACTAATTAAATCTGTTCTAGTTTATTTGAATATTTCAAATGTCCCAGTATATTTTTCAGTCAAAGATTGCCGCCATCGTATGTTATTTATCGGTAATATAAGTAACCTTTTGAACCCCTTTGAAACTCCGAACTTTTGCGAGTATTGTAGTCGCATTCTATTGGTCATGCCATCGTATTTGTTATTAGTTCTTGTTACATGAAATTATGTTCACCAGACAAGTTGCGAGTGGAAGAACATGAACACACTAATTTATTCATTTGTTGAATTTGTAAAAAATACAACGATCCTAAGACTTGTTGCTCTATAGTTCATAGCTGTGCAAGTGCCACATTGGTTTGTGTATTGGTCTCATTCTCAGTGGTCTCAATTTAATGCAAATAGCGATTGCAGGATATATTCAAAAGACGCGACTGTGAATGCGGAAAATATTTTTTCTATTATTGCTAGTACACTTGATTTTGAAACTTAGTGATTAGAAGAAATTCTCCATTGGTGGATTGAAACTTTCTCGACTTTGAGAGGTCTGAAACTCAAAGTCGGGATAGTTCAAACTTTCGCGACCATGGTTATCTCAAAATTGTCGTGTATTGAAATATTGCTTTCAATTTTGGGAATCATTTCTGAAACGGAATTGTGACCTTCTTCTGCGGATATACCTAGTAGCTTTGTGCTGCTAATACTTGAAACAACGTTATTTTTGCTTCGCTTCCACGCAATTCATCGCTTTTTTTTGTCATGACTTATATTAGAAAATATTAAAAATTAACCTGATTGACAAATGTAAAATAGTTTATCCCCACATCTGCTGTCAACCCAATGGTAAGTGTTTATTCCCACCATCAAACAATCTTCCCCAGCACCATAATTGTTTGGCTGACCGTGTCTCCTAAAATAATCGTATTTATCAATAAACTTATATATATGTTCAATATCATATTTCGTGTAAATTTAATTTTTAGTTGCTATGTATGAAATTGAGCTGGTCGAAATACTGGTCGTTACTAACAACGCAGTATCAGAAATGCTTTTGAAAATTTTTATGTTCAGATTTTATCAAGTTTATAAAGTATTGAAAGAAAACACAAAGTTGTTGATTTAATAATATTTTAGATCTAACCAGTTTTGATATCCTACTCCTTCTCTCATGTTCACGTCAGTACCATCCTGCCATTTCCAATATCCTTCTGTAGTTCTGTCGTTACCTCCTATAAAGTAGGTATTAATTGAATCATCGAGTCTGGAATTTTCAAACAAAAATAAATTTCAATCTAAAGAGACACAATAACAGCCTAACTGATTTTCCTACTTATTTTTTAATTTCAACAACCGCTTAGAGTTTGGCACCAAAAACGATATTAAGCTACTCATTAAGTAGATTCCTTGCTTATGTTGGTTAGGCATGTAACTTGTTTATACAAATATACTCAGTGTTGGGGAGACTCGAATCACCGCTTTCGTAAGACCAAGATGACTTATCTAGTCGAGATGACTCGAACACTCGACTAAATGATAATGGGAATTGCCATTAGACTCGGAGAAAATTTTAGAGTCTTTGAAATAGCAAAAAAATTTTGAAGTACAAGTTAACTCTCCATTATTGTTGTATTGGGAAAAGCGAAATTCGCTAAACTGTGGCGGCAATAAATGGAGATGAATCGACTTGACTTGTGCCTAGGAAATGAAGTTATTGGATTTGTCTTGCACATTGCATCCAATACTGAATTTATAAACTCACTCGAAAGTTGCATTGATGACATACGTCATTCTTTCATTATCAACTTTTGCCAAGTATCCTCTCAGTGATTCGCAGGCAGCTTTTGCTCCATCGTAATTCTTCCGGGTATCATTGAAAAAAGTCAGTTCATACTGATTCACACATTTTGTTGTCCATGGAACTATTTAGAAATAATTCAGAAATAACAGTTAGCAACAATGTAATTAAAAAATACTGGTCGATAGGCCATGCATTTTTAAAAACACAAAAATGCAAGTTATGTTACTCAAGGATAGTGAGATAATAATACGAATTATCCATGGAATTGGTATAAAACCTGCAAAATCGCAATTTTTGCGTAATAATTTTTTATAGGAAAATTAGTTTGTTCAGCGTAAAAAATGAATGTTCTTTTACTTCACATCTGTAAAATAATTTTGCTATTTTATTTCCTCCGATGTTTATCAATATCACTGTGGGATCAAACCATACATATTTTGCCATGCGCTTTACATAAGACGTTAAGACGACATATCTATTTAAACGTGCAATATCACTTCTATATTGAGGAAATTGTCTTACTTTGTGCGTTTGAGACTCCAAGTATTATTGACGTAATGATATAGAGTGATGATATTCCAAACGCGTTCATTTTCCTTGCATTTTAATATTTCCATTCGGATTCTCAAATACACTGGGATCAATTTTGGAGACCGTCCTAGTTACGGTGCATAGCGCTGTCCGGATTCTTAAATATAGAATTGCTGAAACTATGTTATACAAATGTTGTTTACAAATATCTTCTTTTTTTGGGATTAATGGCCAGAGCAAATTCTAACTCGCGTATCGGTTTATCTCAGTAACAATTACTAACTCTCTAAAATACAGCAAAACATTTCAAAGTTCTTATTAGGCCTCATTACATGTCCATTGGAACCGGTTTTGCAGGCCACAAAAGAAACTTTTTCACGCTTCAGTGTTTCGCGCGAAATTTCAAATCAACCCTTCTGGTCCGCATCATTGAACCACCTATCAATGAGTTCTGGAAGTGAGCTGCATTGGTGCACTTTAATATACCGGTGCCAGATGGGATTCCGGTGCGGCGTATTGGCATGATAGGTTATTGTTTTGAAACAAAAAATAAAATCTCAATGTCCAAGGATATATTGGTATAAACTGAGCGCAGTAAGATATCCGTTGATGAACTTTAGTTTGCATTAAGATTTTTTTTGATTTTCACCATACATCATCCAAACTGGCACCGTTACGTACCCCAAATGTATATACCGGTACAAATTCAGAGCTTCAGTGTCGGGAACGGCGATATTAAAATAATGAAAGTGCTTTTGATTACATATGATTAGTCCAGTGACAAAATGTAATTGTCTAAATTTGATTGCCACGTTGACAGTAGTGGTAACAGTAGGCACATCGTAATTTCTTGAGCGGATCGTGGGGCGTAAGGTGCTAGTAGCCTACTCTTGCAAATCTGAAACTGAAAGCATGGTCGCCAAAATGATCTGGCGTGTCTACCTTTCTTGCCCTTAATTGATCTGTTTTGTTCTTAGATTATTCGATTTCCTTTTGTTCTTAGAGTATATATGGGCGATAATTCACAAATTTTAACGGGAAAGCAACCCGTCATATCCTGCAAACAACTTTACAGAACTTCAATCGAGAACATGCATATAATTTTGATACTCTAATTAACTTCTGTATTGAATTTCTGAATTTATTGAAGATAAAATATATGCCGTTTGCAAATCGTAACTTAACTGCTCTAGTCAGGCAGCTCAAAAACCATTTTTATCTCGTTGGTTTGGACATGTAATCGAGGGAGCTAAGTAGTCTCTGAGACCACCTTGACTTTTCCTAATCTAACCGTCTCACTGGACTGGTTTTGATGGGCATGTAATCAGGCCTTTTCCCGCCCACAGGGCCCGGTCTAAAATAGTACCCAATTGTAATACTGATATGGAAAAGCAATAATCATTGAAAATGGTGTCGTGGTGTTCCCTTTTATAGTAAGCTTTCATGCATCGTGCTTGTTTCTGCACTAATATGAGAAAATACTCACAGATTCCACATTAGAAGTAGCCAACGATAGGGAGATGAAAGACATATATATGTGCACTGATTCAAAACACTTTTATCGAAGCTAAAGCGTTCGGTGCTCGTCGGCATCTGATGCTACACGTGTGCTTTTACAAAATAATAACAGTATAGAGATAGATAAGCTATAACTACATGTCACGGCCATGACTGTACAATTCAAACAATAATTAATAAAGTGATGTCAGAGATGGAGAAAAAGGCATATCTGCAATTTTTCATCCCAATTCACCTTCACAAATTCTAGCTGAAATCGGTATCGTTCAACCCCGTCGCTTTGAAGCACTACCACGCACGTCACTAATACACTCTGAAGTGCCTGTTACCGTTTGCTCATTTCAGAAAGCTGGTTCAGATGTCGAACTGCGTCTGCCACCACATCAACGTAACATTAAATTTAACATAACTAGTCATAGGTGGTAGCATACGTTGCTAATTGTTATCTAAGACGATACCAATTTCCTCCTGGCCCGGTCGACAGTCAAGAGTCATATTCTAGCAGGGATTATTTGTTTTTACACCATTGATGATGTTCAGGATGCGTGGGGAAGATAACTGAAAACTGACAAAACAATATTGCTCGTTTTATTACACTAGTGAAGGTTAAGCTATTTGTGTTCTCCTGTGAGCGCCAGTCATGTACTGAAACGTCGGTTAGGCATTTTTTTGAAACGCACACCGACACAAATTTGCTAGACATATTTTTACCTCGCGGGTCTTTCTGTTATGATCTGCACAGTATTTTTGAACACTAGTGAAAATGGCTTTATATATCATTATATTAAATATGAATAGTTTTTCTAAATTGTCTGCTTTCGAAATATAATCTTTCGCCACAACTAATGGACATTGAAAATGTTACTTAAGGATATTACTTATTTTTCTGAGTCCTTGGAGGGCCAATATTTCAACCAAAATTGTACTGTTTCAATTTATTTCATGAAAACTTTATTGACATTTGACTAGATATTGCTCTCTTATTATGAAGATGATAATATATTTTACATATGGCTATGGCAAAAATATTGTAGAAACGTATTAGCCTTATTATTGACTCAATCTTGACCGAAAGGCGTTATTAATTTCGTAGAAGAAGCATATGAAATAATTGAAAGAAAAGAAGGGCAATTGGCTATTATGACCGGGAAATGAACTAGGTAGAGACAATGTATTATAGCACCAATGAACTCTTATTCAATTTTATGAGGAATGTGATCATATTTTTGATATCATGAAAAATATTTCTCACTGCCAACGTTCTTGAAAATTTGACTACGTACATTAAGTAAATACACACAAACACTAAATACAATTGTCGATGTACGTATATATATATAATCTTGATTTATGGCTTCTGAAATGAATATGATTGAAATTTGCTTATGATATAATTTCATACTCACTCATCGGCGTAACATTTATTACGCTTTAGCTGCTCTATCTTGTGGAATTTCTGGAAAAGATTTGCTGCCTGTTTTTAACTGTGAAATCAGCTGCCAAGTCTTTTTAATTTCAGTAGTCTCGTAGGTGCGTTGTTTTTATCGTGACCAAACGCTGTTGTCCACAACTAAAGAACCATGCTTTTTCAAATTTTCTGTGCTAAAGACTATCGCTATTATTTTTTTAGGTTTTCTCAAGTGCGCTATATTTCATTTCAAATTTTTATATTCACGTGTATATTACGCCACCGCGTGGATTTCAGTCAGTCTAGTCCGTCATCTTCTCGACCAACACCTGAGCTAATACCTTACTGGTACCAATGTAAATTGCTGTGGTGATGGATCTTTTCTTTGAGTGATCAGATTGAAGATTTCTGTGCAAGTTACAATAACCACTACTGTACTGCGGCTAGTCACTGAATATTTGTATCCACGTATTTGAGAATTGCTCTCTTCTTTAAAGGTGAAATAGGTTCAATGTGTAATGAGATTTTATAAATAGAGATGGCGGAATCGACTACGGAATCGATTCTTCATGGAATCGACTAGAATCGATTCCGACGCATTGGAATCGATTCTTAAAAATTTGGTTATCAACAAGGTATATAACGTTTTGTGACAAGTCCGTCGCCGTATAAACTTGCTATGTGGAGTTTCACGACGCCGCAAATATCGTTATATTTCTACATGCTTATTGCACTCGCTCGTTTGCTCGGGTCGTGTGAGCACGCGGCACTTTCGGACCATTCCGTATCTTGTTTCTCCTAATTACTGTGAGGGAGAATTAGTGGTGCTTCTTCACTTTTTATCTCGCACGCCATTGGCTGCTGCATTCTCCCGTATCACTCGCTTGTTTGCGCTGGCACGTTTCGTCTTGCGAGGGCAGCTTGAAGCGTCGCGCGACCTTTTGTTCCAAAAAAACTCATGTTGCGCGACTTGATTTGCGTTTATGATATTATACCGGACAAGTTTATTATATTCACAAATGCAAGCGTTAGGCTGTTTAGTGTTGTGTCTGTCAAACGCCATTTATTTTGTACATTGTAGACTACTCCATTTAGTCTTGAGATAGGACATTTTGTAGGCTAGTCTGCTAGTACTGTGATTTTCAGACCTGTATATATACTGGTAGTCTAACTGAATAGTCTGATAGTAGATTAGCTCATTGGACAAGTACTAATCCGGCAGTACCGGTATAGTAGGCTGCTGTACAGTCACCTCTTTCTTATGTAAGTAATATTACTGCGTTAAGGGTCCTATACAGTACAATGCCCCGAGATGGTTCACCATGTGATTGAGCCATCATAATACGGTACGGTACCCTATTACAGTTTTAGCTTTCTCTTTCAGGAAACATAACAATATTCTTCTCATTTACAGAATATTCTACATACTATTGAAAACTTAGCTACATTCAGACATTTGGATCAGAGTGCCCAATATGAAAAGGAGTGGAGCACATCGGAAATAAAAACAAATCAAGTCTGGAATTATCTTAGAAAATGAGGTGTTTGAAAATTAGTTTTCGTCAGTCAAATGCTGCGGGGAGTGAGTGTAAAAATCATATGTTTAGTAGATTTGTTCGTAATTTTGTTTCCCACTTAACTCTGTTCATTAGACTTTCAAACAAAACCAATCAACCTATAACAACGCTATGTTGCCAGATGTACTGAATGAGGAAAAGAGTCAAAGTTAACGAAGAGTGCGTAACAGGTTGCTTTAAATTATTTGACACAAAGTGGGCCTATGGGTCGTTTTGTCATAAATACGTAGCGGTGGTGTTTGGGTGACGAAGTCAGGAACAGCACATGCGTAAATTGTTACGCCACGCCCACTAGTGGTATCTGTGGTAGACTACACACTGTACCACACTAGACCCAGTTACGGTAGCTTTACCAGCTACGTTCGGGATGAGGTTTTAAGGAAATTGCGGGTTGAACATTTTTTTTTGACTTCGTGTCCATAGATTTGAGAATTGATCTCTTATCCAAACAATGACGCCACCAAGTATTCTTCCCGTCTATTTATGTCTTGAATGCAATCATCAGTACTTCATAATTCTAGGCATGCTAGTACCATCATTGGTAAGGAAAATGCACCA